CAGTCAGCAATTAAAATGAACAGTCCAATTTGGAAGTGGGCCAAAAGATAGGAAGAAGTATTTCACCAGAGAACATACAGATGGCAAATAGGCAATGGAAAGATTTTTGAACATTACTAACTACTAGAGAAATAAATGCCAAGATGAGCTGGTGTCACACACCTGTTAGACCAGTTAACATGAAACATGAGAACAGCACTGGAGAGGATGCAGAGAAAATGGGTATCTTGACTGTTACCAGTGGGAATGTACAATGGTACCGCCACTCTGGACAAGTTCATCAGATCCTTTGCACACTGAGCACACACTAACCGTGTGCCCTGCAAACTATACTTCTAGGCTCTACATGACTGCTCACAGCTGCTTATAATGGCCCAAATAGCAAACAACCAAAATGTCCAATAGATGAATGATTAAACTGGCATAGGATGGGATCCCATTCCATATGATGGATGCTACTCAGCAACAACGATGGAACACACAAACACACCACTGATAGCACAAATACCACCTGTGCATGTGGTAACCTGGACATATTTCAAGAGCACTATGCTAAGTGACAAAAACCAATAACAAAAAGCCACGTTATATGATTCGGTATATGTAACATCATAGAAAATAGAACTACAGACGTGGACAGCAGGTCTGTAGTTGTCAGGGGTTAATGATGGTCAAAGGGGTAGAGAGGGTAGGTGTGACTAGACTATAAAGAAGTATTGGAGCGGGCGCTGGTGGCTCACGCCTGTAACCCTCGCTACTCAGGAGGCTGAGATCTGAGGATCGCGGTTCAAAGCCAGCCTGGGCAGGAAAAGCCATGAAACTCTTATCTCCAATGAAACTACCAGAAAACCAGAAGTGGTGCTTTGGTTCAAGGAGTAGAGAGCTCGCCTAGAGCTGAGGGACAGCGCCCAGGCCCAGGCCCCACGACAAAAAAAAAAAAAAAAAAAAAGAGGTGTTGGAAGGAGATCTCGTTGGGGGCAGGAGGGATGATAATGGTGTTGTTTTCTACCTGGAATGGAGGTGGTCCATCCATGATGGACAGAAGATGCGCATGCTTACCCCAGATACTGTACTGTTATAGAAGATGGAACCCATGGGGGAAACACCCAAGAAGTACACGTGAAGCTCTTCGTGAGCTCTTTGCTACTTCCAAAGGATCTATGCTTCTTTCCAAACATAAAACAACCTGAAGTCTACAGAACCTGGGAGAACTTACAAATCTGTTGAAAGGGGTGAGGTTGTAATGCTGAACGCAAACCAGACATAAAGAGAGAGATCATGGGGCTATCCACAAAGAGTTGGAGGGGGCCCAACTCCCAAAGCAGACAGTCCAACCAAGCATCAAGTACCTAGTATTGGTAGGACACAAGAGTTTAGGAAAGGCCAACAGATCACTTCCGAAGTAACTTACTCTCTAAGATAAGGCAGAATAATTATACACAGCCCTGAAAAAAACAGGCCCCTTTGTCTGGAAGTCTCATCTGTCTTTTTTTTCTGTCTTTTCTTGGGCTCCCAGCTAAATGCTTTTATTTGGGGGGGGGGGGGAGGGGGTCCGGTTGTGGGGCCTGAACTCTGGGCCTGGGCGCTGTCCCTCAGCTCTTCAGCTCAAGGCTAGCGCTCTACCACTTAAGCCACAGCACCATTTCCAGCTTTTTTTCTTTTTGCTTATGTGGTGCTAGGGAATCCAACCCAGGGCCTCATGCATGCAAGGCAAGTGCTCTACCACTGAGCCACCTTCCCAGCCCCTCAATGCCTCTTTTTGAGTGAAAACCTCCCTATTTCTGTAGGACTATTGGATGTGAATTCTCCTTACCCTGATACTAACATCTCCAAGAAGACCTACTGTGTACCTGTCTAATACCATGCCTGGCAAAAATGCCCAAAGCTCCAAATACATTAGAGGAAGAAAACCTGTTATACAAAGTTGTAATTCACACCACAGACAGCAGCCAGTAAGTTACTGCAGTTTGGAAGAACCCAATGATCAACTTCAACCTGGGAAGGCGGTTTCTCTGAGAAAGATGGTTCAAGGACAGAATGAAGAATCTTAAGTTCAAAACTAAACACAAGCAAGGTGTGGTGGTCCACACCTGTGATCACAGCACTTGGGAAGGTAAGGCGGGAGAAGCGAGAGTTGGGAGGGCAGTCTGAGCTACAGGGTGAAATCTCTTCTCAAAAGACAAACACACAAGAAACTATTCACTACGTTAAGAAACCCACTAAAGATTGAGGCTGGGCACTGTGGTAGTTGGAGCCTGTAACCCTAGCTACTCATGAGTTCAGGAGGATAGTGGTTTGAGGTCAGCAGGCAAAAAGTTAGTGAGATCCTATATCAGTGAAACGTGCCGGTGTGGCAATACACCTGTAATCCCAACTGCAGGTATAAAGTATAGGTAAGAAGATCACTGCCTGAGACCAGCTCTGGGCAAAAATGTAAAGTAAAAGTATAAAGGGGGAGGGGGTGGGGCCTGGAGGCATGGCTCAAACGGTAGTACCTGCTTGGCAAGTAGAAAGCCCCAAGTTCAGCTCTCCAGGCGAATAAATAAACAACAACAACAACAATAATAATAATTCAGAGGAGTGATTATCCCAAAATGTCTTTAGGAAAGTTAATGTAGAAATGGATTTGAAACAACAAGTACAACAGGAGAAAAAAATAATGAAAGACATGAAGAATGCCTATAATCCCAGAGACCTGACAGGCTGAGTAAGAAAGATCCGCTCGTAAGGTGAAGGTCAAAGAATAGAGGTTTAAAAAAAAAAAAAGGCAGGCTGGGAAGGCGGCTTAGCAGTCAAGTGCTTACCTAGCATGCATGAAGCCCTGGGTTCAATTCCTCAGTACCATATACACAGAAAAAACTGGAAGTAGTGCTGTGGCTCAAGTAGTAGAGTGCTGGCCTTGAGCAAAAGAAGCTCAGAGACAGTGCCCAGGCTCTGAGTTCAAGCCCCAGGACTGGCCAAAAAAAAAAGATCAACTGATAGACAGATAAACACACTTTCAATGAGATTAGAGCTAAAGCAAATTCTAATGGAAAATCTGAAGTTTTTGAATAAAATATGGGGATACTATTTACTAAAAAGTGAAGCGAGTAACAAACTTAATTGAAAGGCAATCAGGGTTAGAGGCTAGTCCAGGCAAATAACTAGCAAAGCTCTCTCTCAACAAATAATAAGCCAAGTGTGGTGGTGCACAACCATGATCTAACTAGGCAGAAGACACATGTAGAAAGAAACCATGAGTTCAAGTCCCAAGACCTGCATAAAACTAAAAAAAAAAAAAAAAAAAAAAAGGTTTTTCACTTTGTTGTCACCTGCAGCATTTTCAAGGCCACGGTTGCTACTTGGCTCTAGGGCTTTCAGATGGGTGTGCTTGTGGGAGACGAGAAACCAGCTGCAGTTACCTGACACATCACCCATAATCCAACTACCCTCTCCACCGTCAGAGCGCCTTCCTGTCTCTTCCTTTCTTATTTCCAACACCCGCCAATGGACCATTAGTAAAAAACGGACCATGAGGAGTACAGACAGCTAAAACTTGCTGCTGTCATCTCCCAACAACTTTCACTATGGGTCCTGGTCCTTTTCAAGGGTAACAGTGAAAGAGGCAAAGTGGTCTTCCTGTTTAGCTGAGGAAGGGAGGGAAGAGAGGAAGGAAGGGAGGTTGGTTAACAACTATTACTTCTTGCCGGACGGATACGTTCCTTCTTCTTTCACTAGTGGGGTTGGGGGGGGGGGAGAGGGACTGGCTGGCCTTGTCCATCCCTTTTAATAAGAGAAAAAAGGAAAAAGAAGTACATGAAGATGAAGCTTAGGAAGGAAGAAAAGAGAAATGGAAGGAGAAGAGGGGGAAAAAAAAAGTGGATAACCAGGTAGACAAGGAACATATCTTTAAAACTCCACGGAAGGAAAAGGAAGATTTCCAGAGACTACGTCCACTTGGAAGAGGGGTGGTATCTACATCTCCAAGAAGCTGGGGGCGGGGAGGAGGGCTGTCTGGTGGGTGAAGTGGGGTGGAATGGGGTGAGATTGGGGTGGGGTGAGGTGGGGGAGGAGGGAATGTGGTGAGGTGGGGATGGGGTGAGATGGGGTGGGATGGGGTGAAGGGGGATGGGGTGAGGGGGGATGGGGTGAGATTGGGGTGGGATGGGGTGAGGTGGAATGGGGTGAGATTGGGGTGGGATGGGGTGAGATTGGGGTGTGGTGGGGATGGGGATGGGGTGAGGGGGGATGGGGTGAGATTGGGGTGAGGTGGGGATGGGGATGGGGTGAGGGGGGATGGGGTGAGGTGGAATGGGGTGAGATTGGGGTGAGGTGGGGATGGGGATGGGGTGAAGGGGGATGGGGATGGGGTGAGATTGGGGTGGGATGGGGTGAGATGGGGATGGGGTGAGGTGGAATGGGGTGAGATTGGGGTGGGATGGGGTGAGGGGGGATGGGGTGAGGTGGAATGGGGTGAGATTGGGGTGGGATGGGGTGAGGGAGGATGGGGTGAGGTGGAATGGGGTGAGATTGGGGTGGGATGGGGTGAGGGAGGATGGGGTGAGGTGGAATGGGGTGAGATTGGGGTGGGATGGGGTGAGATTGGGGTGAGATGGGGTGAGGTGGGGATGGGGATGGGGTGAGGGGGGATGAGACGCTGTCAGAGCCACCAGCCTGTCCCCAATCCCCTCGTTCTCGCCTCAGCCCCCGGGGTGGGGTGGGGGGGTGCTGGGGGGGACGGACCCCCACCCCACGCCCGGACCCCAGGCCTCGGGCAGCGCGCCGGGCGCCCGGGGGGGGCGGCGCGGCCTGGCCGCGGGCCGGCGGGCCGCGGGGGTGCGGAGGGAGCTCCGCGGAGGTCGGACCCCCGGGCCGGGGCCTGCCGGGCGGCTGGCGCGCGCGGCCGCGGCCCAGGCGGGGCGGCGCGGAGGCGGCTCCCGCGGAGTCCGCCCGCCGCCCGCACCGCGGGGCTCGGGGGAGGCAGAGAGAGGACGGGCCGGCGGCGGCGGCGGCGCACTCACCGAGAGGACGCTCATGCGGATGGGGGTCTCCAGCAGGCACGCCATCTTGGGCCCTTCCCACCCCGGCGGCGGCCGGCTGCCGGCGCGCGCGCGGGGACACCCGCACTTTCGACACGCTCGAGCCGTCCGCCGGAGCCCCTCACACGCACACGGCCCCACACACCGGGCCGGACACACCTCTCGGTAACCCGGAGAGGGGCCGGGGTGGGGGGGGGGGGACGGACGGAGGGAGGGAGAGGGGGGGAAACCGCGTCAGACGCCGGCCGGCGAATCGGCCGTTGCGAAACAGCAGCTACGCTCGGGCTGGGGGCGGGGGCGAGTGAGAGGGCGCGGGCAGCGCTGTGCGCATGCGCGAAAGGGCGCCCGGGGTGTTTTTTTTTTCCCCCTTCCCTCTTCTCCCCGCGCCCGGTCGTACGTGGTGGGCGGGGGCCACGAGGATGTGGGCGGGGCCTCGAGGGTGTGGGCGTGGTCTCGAGGGAGGGGGCGGAGCTTTATGCTGGCGCTCTGCAGAGCTGCCGGGGGATTCCCTTGGTTGAGTTCACGTTGGTTGGGTTCACGTCTTTTCACGTCAGTTTTCAGAAGCAGAAGAAAAATCCAGTAGGTGGAACCGCCCGCATACTTTTCAGGTTTGCTTTCTCACGCTCAAATTCTCGGCCCTGTCTTTACACCGCACCCCTAGGGATGTGATTATTATTTCCATTTTACAGCTGGAGGCAGGGGATCTCAAAAAACAAATAAACAAAACCACAACGAACACCGGCCCGGGTGTGACAGGTGCACGACCCCACTTCTCCTGCTGTGACATCAAGAATGGACACTAGTTAGGACGTCGGGGCTCATCAGTTGCCTTCGCTTGGAGAGATCATTCTGTTGCCAATTAGTTTCCGTTTTCTCCAGTGTTAAATAATGAGAGTTCACGGAGGCTCCATAGACAAAGTACTTACAACACGCCTGGAACGTGGAAAGCATTGCACAATAGGTGTGATAGCCTGTTTCCAGCCTCTGAATCAAATGTGTGCGTGTGTGTGTGTGTGTGTGTGTGTGTGTAGGGGAAATTGATCAAATGTTTGAATGTTTTATATTAAAACACTGAGAAATGAGGCCACGTGCCTAATTTAGGCTGTTACCTCTACCCTGAATTAAAGCTATCTATAGCCTTCCGAGTGGAGTAGATTTAAAAAAAAATCTATCCCTCACAATTGCTTCTCATTGATTTTCTCTGTTCTTCCCGACCTGAGTGTCTAACTAAAATAATTGCAGCATTTATCAGCCCCAGCTTATGGGGACTGCTTTCCTTTAAAAAAAAAAAAAAGTTGAATTCCTAGAAGGTAAGAATTTTATTTAAGATAACCCTGACACTTTAGCTCTTTTCCCAAAAAAACGTCCACAATCTGTCTACTTGCTTGTTGGCATCTTTGATCTCTTGTCTTTCATGGATGAATTGGATGCTTTTCGCAGTTTCTGACACATCTACTTTTATTCAGCTTACTTTCTAATTAGGGAGATAACTATTTGGTAGGAAAATCTAGAGTCCCAAGTCCCATTTTTTAAACTTAATAATTCCAGAAGCTTTTAGGAATAGTTTTTTAAAAAAATCAGTAAGTTCTTAAGTTGCCTATTAAGAACATATTATTTGTGAATGTCTTTAGAAACAAAATTCACACTAAAGAATCAGCCACTCTCTCTTACACACTTGTATTAACCTTGGTTTAATTTTTAGCAAAGGAAAACTTCTATTTCCAGGGCTTTCATTTACCCTTCTGGTTTTAAGTTCTATCATCTGTCAAACTGCTAAAACACAAGGACTAAGAGATAAGAGACACACAGAGTTGCAGTGCACACCAAAATCTCCAGGGCAACCAGATGCCCATGGCTCACTCAGAAGATTGAGTTCTGAGGATTGAGGTTTGTTCTCAGCCTGGACAGGAAAGGCCAAGAGACCCTGTTCCCCAATTAACTACCGAAAAGCCAGAAGTGGAACTGTGGCTCAAGTGGTGGAGAAATAACCTGGAGCAATAAAAACAGGCAACGCCCAGGTTCTGAACCCAAACCTCATTACTGGCACAATACATACATAAGTAAATAAATAATATGTAATAAATATAAATAAGTAGGGCTGGGAAGGTGGCTCAGTGGTACAGCGCTTGCCTTGCATACATGAGGCCCTGGGTTCGATTCCTCAGCACCACATAAGCAGCAAAAAAAAAAAAGGCCGGAAGTGGCGCTGTGGCTCAAGTGGTAGAGCACTTGCCTTGAGCTGAAAAGCTGAGGGACAGCGCCCAGGCCCAGAGTTCAGGCCCCACGACCAGACCCAGAAAAAAAAAAAAAAAAAATATATATATATATATATGCATAAATAAGTAAACGCAAGTAAGTAGAAATAAGTAAAAAAGATATAATGCATATGTTTATAAATAAAAATATGTAAGTATGTTTATATATTATAATATACAATACAGTATATAACATACTACATATATGTAGTATATAATGATCTCATATGTTATATGCTATAATATGTGTAATTATATAATACCCTATATGCAAATATGCATAAGTATATAATACATTACAATATGATATAGTATATATTTATGTATAACTATGTAATTATGACATAAAGGTGACTTATAAATATGAAATATTTAAAGTATAAAAACAAATATAAATATAATTTAATTACAATTCTAATATATATTTATATTTAATAAATATGTTATGTATTACATTGTATAGAAATGTGGTATAGTATAAATATATCACATATCACATATAAATATTATATACTGTATCTCTATATAATTATATTGTATATAATTATCTGTAATATATTATAACCTATCACATATAATTTATCATAGACTTATTTATATATGTATAACTATCACATTGCCATATAAATATATGATTTATATAATATATACACGTATATAATATATAAAATATAAATGTGTATATGTCGTATTTATATTTATATATATTGTATTTCTATAAACAAATACATGAATAGAAACAAACACTTCTGGTGTTGGCGGTGCCCTTCCGGCTTCCGCTCTCGCGCGACTTGCGGGCCGGAAGTTACGTCGCGCTCGCGTCCCAGGCGGCCCCGGGGGGGCTGCGTGATGTTGGCGGGAACTCCGCGGGCGTCGGACGTCCGGCGGCCCCGGGACGCGGGCGAGCCCGCGGCGTTGCGGGCAGCGAGATGCGGGTAGCCGTGACCGGCTGCTGCCATGGGGAGCTGGACAAGATCTACGAGACGCTGGCGGTGGCGGAGCGGCGCGGCGCGGGCCCCGTGGACCTGCTGCTGTGCTGCGGCGACTTCCAGGCGGTGCGCAACGAGGCCGACCTGCGCTGCATGGCCGTGCCGCCGCGCTACCGCCACATGCAGACCTTCTACCGGTGAGCCGGGGGCCGGGGGGCCGGGGGGGGGGGTCGGGGGGGACGGGGGGGGTACGTGGGGCGGGAATGTCACCGTCCCTCCCCCCTGCCCGCACACACCCGTCCCGTCCCGTCTGCGGGCCGGCCGCCGTACTCGGAGGGACTGGACAGGTTCCCCCCCCCCCCCCCGCTTGGTCCTGGGCTGAGCCGTCTGGGGGCGGGGGGGGGGGGGGAGTCGCTCCGTTAATCATCCCGCAGCTTTGCTCTGGGCCCAGGCCCTGCCCCTGTTTGAGACGCTCAAGTGACAGCCGTGGACTCGATCAACTTCTTTACCACACTGGATCGTGCTGGCCTCAACGTTAGGCAGAGAGAGAGAGAGAGAGAGAGAGAGAGAGAGAAGGAGAGGGAGGGAGAAGAGGGTTCTGCTAGCCTAAAACTCAGGCGTGTGTGTGTGTGTGTGTGTGTGTGTGTGTGCTGGGACTTGAACTTGTGTGTGTGTGTGTGCTGGGTTTTGAATTTGTGTGTGTGTGTGTATGCTGGGACTTGAACTTGTGTGTGTGTGTGTGCGCGTGTGCTGGGACTTGAACTGTGTGTGTGTGTGTGTGTGTGTGCTGGGACTTGAACTTGTGGCAGGGGGCGGCTGTCCCTTTTCTGCTTCGAGGCAGATTGATGCCCTACCACTTGAGTCACAGTTCCACTTCCTGTTTCTTTACAGTTAATTTCTGGGCTGGCTTTGAACCTCAACCCTCAGATCTCAACCTCCTGAGTAACTAGGGTTATAGGCATCTATAACCTTATAGCCTATAACCCCTTCCTTCTTTTTTTTTTTTTTTTTTTTTTGGTCAGTCTTGGGACTTGAACTCTGGGCCTGGGTACTGTTCCTGTGCTCTTCAGCTCAAGGCAAGCGCTCTACTGCTTGAGCCACAGAGGCACTTCCGGTTTTTCTAGTGGTTCATTGGACTTTCCTGCCCGGGCTGGCTCTGAACTATGATCCTCAGATCTCAGCCTCCTGAGTAGCTAGGATTACAGATGTGAGCCATCGGCGCCAGGCTAACCCCTTTATTCTTAAGCACAAGGGTGGATACAGGAGACCTTTACAAAGAGTTTTACAACATTTTTGAATGAGATCAGCTTTGTCCTCTAGACATTATTTTACATCTCTGCTTGATTTGCCGACTGAGAATTTTACCTTTCTGTTTCTAGGTATTATTCTGGAGAGAAAAAGGCCCCGGTTCTCACCATCTTCATTGGCGGAAACCATGAAGCTTCAAATCATTTACAAGAGTTGCCCTATGGTGGCTGGGTGGCACCAAACATTTATTATTTAGGTATGTGATCATGTGTCATAGTTTGCTTTGAAGAGATGGAAGGACTTGTTGGAATTTGTATTAATAGGCAGCATCTTGAGATAAATAGTGTTTTCAGAATGTCAATTTTATCATTAATTTTATCATGAAAATTTACTTGACATAGTTATGTCAAGTAAAATTCCATAAAATTGCATAAAATTCCAGGCCCCTGCTTTTCCCTTAGAAAAGCAATTGCCTTTGTCTATGATAATTGTATTTATTCCTTTACTTACTTACTATCAGACTTGGGGTTCGAACTCAGTGCCTGGGCTGTATCCCTGAGCTTTTATGCTCCAGGCTAGCCCTCTACCGCTTGAGCCACAGCTCTACTTGTGGCTTTTTGGTCATCAATTGGTGATAAGAATCTCATAGACTTCACTGCCCTGCTGATTTTGAAATGTTATCCTCAGATTTCAACCTCCCGAGTAGCTTACAGGCCTGAGCCTCTGTAGTCCAGCAGTAATTTTATTTCACTGCACAATTTTCCAGGTTTGGCAGGTGTGGTGAAATACCGAGGTGTGAGGATTGGTGGCATCTCTGGTATCTTCAAATCTCATGACTATCGAAAAGGTATTGTCATCGTGAAAACTTGTTCTTCACTTTTAGGACTTACCTGACTTAGAGTAATGCAAGCACGATGTACACTGTGACATAGTTATTGCACTTTATTTCTCCTGTGAATACTTTTATTCTCAATTTTTATGTTTCATTTTGTTTGTTGCTTTTCTATGCAGGTCCTGGGACTTGAACTCAGGACCTGGACTCTGTCCCAAACCTTCATTTTGCTCAAGGCTATGCTTGAGCCATAGCTCTACTGCCAGCTTTTTTAGTAGGTCAGTGGAGATAAGACTCTCACAGCCTTTTCTTGCCTGAGATCCTTGGATCTCAGATCTCAGCTTCCTGCATATCTGTGTCAGCATTCACCTGACTTCTATCCTAATTCTCTCCTGCCTTTTTTCCTCTCTTGCCAGGCAAGCCCTATGCCTAATTTGGTGTTTGTCATTCACTAGATTACTAGTACACCTAGGAAAGCTGGGAACAATGTATCAAACAGCATGTTTGCAACTTTATATAAATGTATCTTATTGCTTGTGTGTTTCTATACATTGCTTACTTATTTGACATAATTCCCAAACCATTGGTTATCCATGTGACTCTAATCTGTTCATTCATAGCTATGAATTTTAAAGTTAGAGGAATGAATAGCTTGGATTGATATTGATTAATCTAACTTCGTAAATTAAGTTGGCAGCCAAAACTTACATCATTAAAGTAATTGTCAAGTCACAAGTTTGTTCCTGTCCTTTTCCTCTGTATGGGGTTTTTCTTTTTTTGTGTGTGTCGGTCCTGGGGCTTAAACTAGGGGCCTGGGCTCTGTCCCTGAGCTTTTATACTCAAGGCTAATGCTCTACTACTTGAGCCACAGCTCCACTCTGGCTTTCTGTGAACTTTATTTTTTTTTTTTTGGGTCTGGTCGTGGGGCCTGAACTCTGGGCCTGGGCGCTGTCCCTCAGCTCTTCAGCTCGAGGCTAGCACTCTACCACTTGAGCCACAGCACCACTTCCGGCTTTTTTCTTTTTGCTTATGTGGTGCTGAGGAATCAAACCCAGGGCCTCTGGCATGCAAGGCAAGCACTCTACCACTGAGCCACCTTCCCAGCCCCCACTTCTGGCTTTCTATGGATAAGAATCTCATGGTCTTTCCTGGCATCGAACAGTAATCCTCAAATCTCAGCCTCCTGAGTAGCTAGGATTACAGACATCAGCCACTGTACGGCTGTTCTTTATGGTTTTAACCTCTGGCATGGATTTACATAGACAGGCTGTTGGCTACGCCTATAATTCCATGTATGTTATATCCATCTTTGGAAGACAGTTGATAACATAGCTTGTTTCTCTTCTGATTTAAGGTCATTTTGAGTGTCCCCCTTACAATTCGTCCACCATAAGGAGTATATATCATGTGAGAAATATTGAAGTCTATAAATTAAAACAGGTATGTAGAAAGTCCATTACAGCAGACTTGAGAGGGGGAAAAAAAAAAAAGTTCAGTGATTTGGTACCAGAATGCATTTTGCTCCTCTTCATATGGTACTTCGGAGAACAGCAATTTGATATTTCTAAAATTTAGCATTTGAATTGCTTTCGGAGGTTCACAGATGGCCAGACTTTTGTTTCTTAATAGCTAACAATTCTTTTTAAGGACTTAAGGTAAAAGTAAAGAATTATGTATAAAAGCCAAGCATTGTGGTTCATGATTATAATCCCAGCTGTGGGATATTTAAGATGGTCCCTGAGGCAGAGAGAAGCTGTTTCTGTCTGTTTAGATGGGTGTGTAGCTTCCTGCGTGAGGACGGGCCCCCCGCGATGAGTTCTGCGGAGAGGTTCCAGACATCTCCGTGGTGGGCATCAAGTGGACGGGATTGTTCTGGTTACTTCAGCTCTTGTTCAGGGTTTTTTCCTTCCTGTTCTGTTCTTTAAAGCTGAAGCAGCCTATAGATGTATTCTTATCTCATGATTGGCCCAGAAGTATCTATCACTATGGAAATAAGAAGCAACTCCTGAAGACCAAGTCTTTTTTCCGCCAAGAGGTGGAGAATAACACGCTGGGCAGCCCAGCCGCCTCGGAACTCCTGGACCATCTGAAGCCCACTTACTGGTTCTCCGCCCACCTGCACGTCAAATTTGCAGCCTTGATGCAGCATCAGGTAGAGAGCCAAGTCCTTCCTCTTTGTCTCTCATCAGCACTCACTGAACACTCGTGAACTAGACGCAGTGGGCGCAGCTGTACAGCTAGAAAGAGAAATGAGAGTTCACTCACCTCTTCTGAGTAGCTCAGCACAGAAAGTAATCAAGCAACCAGCAATTACAAAGCAGTCTGAGCTTGGTGGGAAATTGTCGGGTGTTGTGGGAGCTCTACACTGGCTCGGTGCAGTGGGGAGGGGGATTGAGGGCGGAGCTGAGCCCTGCAATGCCAGGAAGAAATAGCCTCTTTCCTTTTTTTTCCGGCCATTCCTGGGGTTTTGAACTCGGGGCCTGGGGACTGTCCCTGAGCTTCTTTTGCTCAAGGCTACCACTTGAGCAATAGCGCCACCTCTGGCTTATGTGTAGATGGTACTGTGGAATGGAACCCGGGCTTCATGCATGCTAGGCAAGCACTCTACCACTAAGCCACATTCCCAGCTCCCGTGTGTCTTTTTGGTGTCTCTGTGTTGTGTTATGCTGGTTAGTAAGGTTTGACCTCAGGGCTTTAAGCTCTTATTTCTTTTCTTTTGTTTTGTTTTAATTCAAGTATGGTGCTCTACCACTTGAGCCACAGCCCTACTTTTGGCTATTTGCTGATTAACTTAGATAAGCGGCTCATGGACTTTTCTGCCCAGGCTGGCTTTGAACCTCAATCCTCAGATCTCAGCCTCCTGCGCAGCTCGGATGACAGGTGTGAGCACTTGCACCCACCAGCACTTCAGTTTTCAGGGAGACATGGGTGTTGCCTCCACTAGGACCTTCACATTCATGAATTCTCCCCGCTTGCTTTTTCTCAGTTCACTTTAAAAAAAAAGCTTTTTAGGAAGAATAATTACATAGCAGGAAATCAGCCTACAATTCAATGATTCTACTTCTGTTCCAGTTATGCAGATATCACATGACCCAGTTTGGTGACTTTTTTGGTAATACTGAGGATTGAACTCAGGGCTTTGTGCTCGATAGGCAGGTATTCTATTGGAGCCATGCCCCCCAGTCCAGCCTTGCCTTCCATGACACAGCGAATATGGAATACTTTGGGGGGGAAAGTAACATTCTTTTGATACACCGCTTAGGAGCACTTGTGATAGTGTCCTAGTCAATATATGAATGACCTGTGATACGTTAATATTCTCCCATTGTGTCTTATCTTGCCTAGGCCACGGATAAAGGAGAGACAGCCAAAGCAACCAGATTTTTAGCCTTGGACAAATGCTTACCACATAGAGACTTTCTTCAGGTAAGCAAACACAAAACATTTTGCAAAACAGTTTTTACTCTTGCAGTGATTAAAAATGTTGGTTTGGTTTGGTTTGGTTGTGCTGGTCCTAGGGCTCGAACTCAGGTCCCAGACACTATCCTTGAGCTTCTTTTTTTTTTTTTTTCTCAATACTAAGACTCTTAATCACTCAAGCCACAGCTCTACTTCCAGCTTTTTTTTTTTTTTTGTAGTTTATTGGAGATAATATTCTCAGGGACTTCCCTGCCAAGGCTGGCTCCAACCCTTAGATCTCATCCTCCCGAATAGCTGGGATTACAGGCATGAGCCACTGGCGCCAGGCTCAAATACCTTTATGGTCTGATTAGTTTATCTTAAGATACTTAGGCTATGCAGACGGTATCTGTTATCACCTCATGGTGCTGCTTTCTCCGCTAGGTCTTAGAAATCCCACACGACCCCGGTGCGTCTGACCAGCTGGAGTATGACGTGGAATGGCTGGCTGTCCTCCGGGCCACTAACGACCTGGTGAACGTGACCGGGGGCCTGTGGAATATGCCCGAGAACAACGGCCTGCACGCACGGTGAGAGGAGCGTGCACTTTGCGTGTGCAGGGAGGTCTCTGCGGCTTCTATGTCGTTTTGTTTCGTTGGGTTTCTGGGATGGACGGGAGGCAAGGGGACAGTGTTCCTCTGGGAAAACCTACCAAATGTCTGCCCGGTGACCTGACCTAACCTGGCGAGGCCCAATGGTTGCATGGCATCTTCAGCCTGAACGGCTGTGGCCATTACCCCCGGCACGCCCTGGCCTGGGTGCCATCCCTGAGCTCTTGTGCTCAAGTCTTAGCACTTGAGCTACAGCTCCACTTCCACCTTTTATTTTATTTTAATTTTAGGGAAGGTGGTACTTATTTGGAGATAAGAATCTCCTGGACTTTTCTGTTTGAACCATAATCCTCAGATCGCAATCTGACCATACAGAATTTTGCTGGGTGATTCATTTCCTCTGTGTGCACTTGCCAGTTACTATTTGAGGGGGATCACATGTGAAAATGGATCGCTCAGGCTGAGAAGGTAGCTTCGAGGTAGAGTGCTTGCCTAGCATGCGTGGAGCCCTGGGTTCAATTCCTCAGTAACACAGACACAGAAAAAGCCAGAAGTGGCACCATGGCTCAAGTGGTAGAGCGCTGGTCTTGAGCAAAAAGAAGCTCAGGCAGAGCGCTCAGGCCCTGAGTTCAAGTCCCAGGACTGGCAAAAAAAAAAAAGACCATGGATTGTTCTGCCTCTTATAGGTGGGATTACAGTGCCACCGAGGAAGCCATGAAGGAGGTGATGGATAAGATGAACCAGGACCTCAAGGTGCCCTGCAACTTCAGCGTCACCGCGGCCTGCTATGACCCCAGCAAGCCACAGGCCCCAGTGCAGCCTGTGCACAGGATCAACCCGCAGACCACTGAGTTCTGTGCCCAGCTTGGCATCACAGACATGAACGTGAGGCTTCAGGAGGCCAAGGAAGAGCACCCACCTTGTGGGGACTACGAAGAGCAGGAGGAGGGGAGCGACGACTCTGGAGAAGACCGGAGCGAGTACACCACCGACACCTCCGCCCTGTCCTCCATTAATCCCGATGAGATCACGCTAGATGAAGAAGAGGAGGAGGAGGAGGAGGATTGTGGAGGTTCACCCAGTGACATGAACACACCCTCAGCAGAACCTCCTTCCTATCAGGCTTCCGATTTCTCCACAAGCTTTTCTGATGTGAGGGTCTTGCCGGGGTCCATGGTTGTATCTTCCGATGACTTACCAGGCTCTCCCTCGGGTACCGAAGGGGGACCCCTAGAGGACGATGGGAAGGACTTCACTGAGTCGCCCTTGAAGAGGCTGAGTAATGAACACGAACCTGAACAGAGAAAGAAAATCAAGAGGAGGAATCAAGCCATCTATGCGGCGGTGGATGATGATGGCGCTAATGATGATGCCGAAGCCTGACACGTTGACTTGCCTTCCTATTATGTGTACATAGGTGATTTTTTTGAGACCCTATTTTTAGAGTTGGATTTTTGGTGCAAGGATTACCTTTGTAATAATGAAGTTATAAAAGGGGATTATTTTTTTTTTTTTTAGATATCAACTTGGTCTTTAGGCCTTTATATGTTTTAGATACAAATGCATTAAAGGTTCCTGTCCAGTTTTGATTGACCTAACGTCATTTACCTCCATTTCTACACCCTTACCGCTCATGCACTTGATGACAAACACATCTTCTGAAATACGGGACTGTGAACACAGAGGACACATGGATTTTTTTTTCAAGGAGTTAAAATTATATGTATTTTGATGTATTCAAAAAGAGGTATATTTAAGATGTTTTCCAAAGTCCACATCACTTTTGTACATATAATTATGTATCCCTCCTTTTCATGATCTTCCCCCCCAGCAATCAGCTTAATGTCTGTCAGAAATAAATTGCAATTGGAGATGTTACATAAAATTTCAGGAAGTTATTTAAATATTAAACATGGGTAAGACATACAGTCTCATACTTCATTGCTGAAAAGTGGTATCCTTATTGGCTTCTGCATATTGTATTTTAGCTTTAGCTTTCATTTCATGCACGTATAGTGAGTATATACAGATTATTTTCTCCACAGTGCAGCTTTCCTTGTATGAATTGATCAAGGTATAGCTGGACATCACTGGCTCATTCCTGTAATTGTAGCTACTCGGGAGGCTGAGATCTAAGGATTGCCATTCAAAGCCAGCCCAGGCAGGAAAATCTGTGAGACTTATCTCCAGCTAGCCACCAAAAAGCCAGAAGTGGAGGTGTGAGGCTCAAGTGGTAGAGTTGCTAGCCTTGAGCAACAAAACCTCAGGCACAGCACGTAGACTTTTTTTTTTAATTTTTATTTGTCCGTCCAGAGGCTTGAACTCAGGGCCTGGGCAGCTATCCCTTAGCTTTTTCACTCAAGACTGATGCTCTCATCACTTGAACCCACAGCTCTACTTGTGTGGTTAATTGGAGGTAAGAGATTCACAGCCTTTTCTTCCTGGGCTATCTTTGAACCGTGATCCTGAGGACTCAGCCTCCTGATAATCTAGGGTTTCAAGTGTGAGCCACCAGTGCCACCAGTTAGGATAGTTTTAGGTTCACAGTAAAACAGAGGGTGGTCAGAGATCTCCCATAGACCCTCTACCTCCACGTATGCCAGACTTCCGCTAGTCTCACATTCCTTTACCACTCAAGTCCATATATCTGGACTGACAATCATCTCCCAAAGCTGATGGCATGTGTCCTTTCGTTCTGGCTGCTGTGTATTCTGTGGTCTGGATGGGTGCCCAGAATCACATCCAGCCTTCGAGCATCCTGCAGCTGATTTCACCAACCTGACAGTCCTCTGTGCCCCTTTCCATAGCCTTTCTCCCTCAGCCCCCGTCCGCCCTTCACCCTTTTGCTGCCTCTGTAATTCTGGGACCGGCACTTATCCCACAATGCCATATATGTGGCAGCCTCCCGTGTGTAAGTAACCACACGCAGGGCTTTTTTTCACAGAAGCGTTCGGCTCCTGTGCTAAGAGCATACATGATGTGTGCTCACGTAAGCATTCAGCTACTGCGGGGAAAAAAGCGTAAGCAGCTGCTGCCTTATTGCCCACAATGCCTGCCCCGTTCTTTGCTAAACCCTAATAAGGGCTTTGGCTCATTTCTAAGTCATAGTTTTTTATTATTTTGAGTTTATTGAGTTGCTTTGTGTGTGTGTGTATTTTGGACCAAGACCTCGGTATGTAGCCCAGACAGGCTTTACCTTTATGATCCTCCTGTCCCCTGAAGTCCACTATGCTGGGATTACAGGGTTCCACACGCACACCACCACACCTAGTTTATGGTCAAGTTTTATAAGTTCTTTGTATATTTTGGAGAACCATTCTTGGTCAGATAGGTATTTTATCAGTATTTCCCTTCATGGGATATGGCCTCTTTCTGTTCTCTTGACAGAATAAAGTCTTGCTTGTAAACAGTGAGGTAGAACATTGTGGAAGAGAGCCATGAGTCAGGGAGAGGATGTCTCATGGTAGGGGAGAGGGAGGAAAGAACGAGAAAGAGAGAGAAAGATCTGAGACTTCATCTAAACCTGATCACTTAAAGGCCTCAACTTAAAATAGCATCACATTAAGGTGGTAGGGTTTCAATATAGGAATTTGGGAGTGACACAAATATATAGTCTATAATAGTTTATAGTTTATTGAGTTCTTTCTCACAGATGGTTTATGAAAGTACAGGGGAGGGACATCTGGTAAGCCCAGATGTTCCATATTCTTCTATCGTGTGTGTGTGTGTGTGTGTGTGTGTGTGTGAGTGTGTGTGTGTGTGTGTGTGAGTGTGTGTGTGTGTGAGTGTGTGTGTGTGTGAGTGTGAGTGTGTGTGTGTGTGTGTGAGTGTGTGTGTGTGTGTGTGTGAGTGTGTGTGTGTGTGTGTGTGTGTGTGTGTGTGTGTGTGTGTGTGCGCGTAGCATTCAGCCACAGCTCCCTTTCCACATGTTCTTAGTAGTGTCTCACAGAGTTTTCTGCTCAGGCTGGCTCCGAACTGTGATCCTCACATCTCAGCCTTCTGAGTAGCTAGGATTATAGGCGTGAGCCATCCGTAGTACCTGGCTTAAATTCCCTCTTCTTGGCAGGAAGAAGGAATTAACTCTGGCTCCTAGAACTTACCAGCCCACTATCAGAAAGTCACTGGCATTTTCAGGCCTGGTTTTTTTATTTTTTTTCTTTTGCCAGTCTTGGGGCTTGAACTCAGGGCCTGGTCTCTGTCTCTGAGACTCTGTGTGCTCAAGGCTAGCACTACCACTTGAGTCACGGCGCCACTTCGGGCTTTTTCTGTGTATGTGATACTGAGACGTGATTGAACCCAGGGCCTGATGCGTGCTAGGCAAGCACTCTACCACTGAGCCACTTCCTCAGGCCCAGTTCTTTAGCCTTAAAGAGTTGAGCTGAGAACATATTGGTTCACTGGAAACAATTATTTTACCTTATCTCCCCGCCCTCGAACCCCACCAACCACTTTATCCTCAAGTAAATGTTAAAACAGAGATGTGTGCGTGGAGAATTATGCATGTAAATACAAGCATTTCCAGAGCAAACCCAGAAAGGTATTCTCAATAGCTCTGGAAGGTTCTATACGCAGAAGGATGTTTGATTGGTATAACTTAACAGGCAACAGAAAGCCGGAAACATGAGGCTAGCACCATTTTATTGAAAACATAAGCCAGGTGCTGCTGGCTTATTTCTAATTCTAGCTTCTCAGGAGGTTGAGATCTGAGGGTTATGGTTCAAAGCCCACCCAAGCAGGAAAGTCTGTGAGACTCTTAACGCCAATTAAGCACCAAAAAAAACGAAGTGGAGCTGTGACTCAAGTGGTAGAGCGCTAGCCTTGAGAAAAAAGCTCAGGAACAGTGCCCGGGCCCTGAGTTCAAGCCCCAGGACACACACACACACACGATGTAGAATAGTTGAAGTTACATCTTTTGAAACAATGTTGTGTTATATTTGAGTAGTTGTACAACTGAGTTCAACATGGCAGTTTGTGACTACAATGCATCTTTTTTTGGTCAGTCGTGGGGCTTGAACTCGGCCTGGGCGCTGTTCCTCAGCTCTTCAGCTCAAGGCGAGCGCTCTACCACTTGAGCTACAGCACCACTTCTGGTTTTCTGGTGGTTTATTGGAGATAAGAGTTTCACAGCTTTTCCTGCCCAGGCTGGCTTTGAACCGTGATCCTCAGATCTCAGCCTCCTGAGTAGCTAGGATTACAGGCGTGAGCCACCGGCACCTGGCTATACTGCATCTTGACCAGTGTGACCCCTTCTATAATTCTCCATCATCTCTCTTAACCCCACCCCTCCCCTCCAGTTACCTGATTCCATTTTTACATGTATACATTGAATATTACGACTACATTTGCCCACCCTTCCTTCCTCCATTCACCTGCCCCCACCCCCAAGCCTCCCTCCCCTCAACCCATGTTCCAGCTTCCTGGTATTCCTTTAGGTAAACTGTAAGTTATAGTTCTTTGAAGGAGTTACATTATTGCATTCTCCCCTGTGTGTACCCTACTTTAGTCAGTGTGTGTGTGTGTGTGTGTGTGTGTGTGTGTGTGTGTGTGTGTGTGGTTTCATTTGCCTGTCCTGGGGCTTGAACTCAGGGCCTGGGCATTGTCCCTGAGCTGCTTGGGCTCAAGGCTAAAACTCTACCACGTGAACCACAGCACGGCTTCTGGCTTTTTCTGTGTCTGTGGAACTGAGGAATGGAACCCAGGGCTTCATGCAAGCACTCTACCACTAAGCCAGCGACCTTCCCAGCCGTGTGTGTGTGTGTGTGTGTGTGTGTGTGTGTATTTCTATGACTTTGTTTTTCTTTTTCTTTTTTTTTTTGGTGGGTCGTGAGGCTTGAACTCTGGGCCTGGGCACTGTCCCTCAGCTCTTCAGCTCAAGGCTAGCAGTCTACCACTTGAGCCACAGAGCCAGTTCTGGCTTTTTCTGCTTATGTGGTACTGAGGAATCGAACCCAGGGCCTCATGCATGCGAGGCAAGCACTCTTCCCCTGAGCCACCTTCCCAGCCCCCTGTATATGTTTTTATATATGACTTCTAGTTTAGATCTAACTTGTGGTAGCCATTTCTATGCCACAAGCAAATTTTACTGAGACCCTCAAGTACTGACTTTGGCCAACCATCATTGTCTTCAGGATTTAGTGAGAATAATGCCAGTTCTCAATGTGAGTGATTTGATTATTAATTTTTCCATGGATTCCCAATATTCAGTGGGAATTGATTCCCCAACTGACCCCCAAAATGATCAGGTCTAACTAGGTCCTCTCCATATAGACGAAGCCAACCCCTTTACCTTTATTCCAGCTTCCAGACAGAGAAGAAAGAAATGGGTGCCAGGTGCCAGTGACTCATGTCTACAATCCCAGCTCCTCTACAGGCTGAGATCTGAGGATCCTGGTTCAAATCCAGCCAGGGCAAAACAAGGCCTTAAGATTCTTATCTCCAATTAACCACCAAAAGGCCAGAAATGGAGATGTGGTTTAAATGGTAGAGTGCTAGCCTTGAGCTAAAAAGTTCACGGACAGCTGGGTCCTGATAGCTTACACCTGTCATCCTAGCTACTCAGGAGGCTGAGATCTGAGGATCTAGGTTCGAAGCCAGCCTGAGCAGAAAAGTCCCTGTGAGACTCTTATCTCCAAAAACAGAAGTGTAGCACTAACCTCGAACAAAAAAAATCTCAGAAACAGTACCTAGGCCTTGGGTTCAAGTCCCAGGATAGCCCCCTCCCAAAAAAAAGGAAAAGAAAGAAGAAAAGTAGCAGCAATGTTGATTAGATAGCACCTTGTGTATTTATTTTGTTCTGTTTGGAGCTGAATGTTTTAACAAGCTTATCAGTTCCAGTTGCTTAACAAATATGTTAAAAACCGGAACTGTGGTCCCACAGACTCCTGAACAAACAGCACAGGAATGGTTAGGGCTAACATTTCCTTCTTGCCATAAAACCCCAGTTGAAAGAATCCACAGAAATTATGAGGTGTACTTTCCATGTGAGGTGCAAGTCAATAAACGTGTATTGTGAAAGAATCCTCTAGCATTCATGGCTCCATACAGTGGGTCTTTTATAAAAGGGGGATTTGAACCCTAATCACCAAATGCTTTCCACTGCAAGTTATCTGAAGAGATAGAGAAATTTCTCCTCTTTTTCTGTGGTTTCCTCCTCTGGCCTTCCCTTTAGACTAGCTCCAAAAGCCCAGGAATAGCCTTGTAAAATAGAAGTAACATTGGATTCAGAGATCTGGTTTTCCCCCATTCAGCTTGTTTATGTATTTATTTGTGCATGTGTGTGTGCATGTGCACGCCAGTACTTAGACTTGAAATTCATGGCCTGGACATTTGTCCCTTAGCTTTTGTTTTTTTGGTTTTTGGAGGGGTCAAGGCTGATGCTCTACTACTTGAACCACACCCCCATATCCAGCTTTTTGGTGGTTTATGGGAGATAAGACTCCCACAGATTTTCCTATCCAGGCTAGCTTTGAACCATAACCCTCAGATCTCAGCCTCTTGAGTCAGCTAGGAATACAAGCATAAGCCACTGGCATCCAACTCTGCTTCTGTATTCATAAGGAGTCACACCAATGCACATTTCCTAAGGTGTCTTCAGCCAGCCACTGTTGTCCGGGCATCCCACCCCGAGTAGGTTAGAAAGAAAAAAAAAAGAAGTTCTAGGAAGCAGATAACTGTTAAAACCTCCACGTCACGGGCTGGGAAGGTGGCTCAGTGGTAGAGCGCTTGCCTTGCATGCCTGAGGCCCTGGGTTCGATTCCTCAGCACCACATAAGCAAAAAGAAAAAAGCCAGAAGTGGTGCTGTGGCTCAAGTGGTAGAGCGCTAGCCTTGAACTGAAGCGCCCAGGCCCAGAGTTCAGGCCCCATTACCGGGCCAAAAAAAAAAAAACCTTCCACGTCACCAGAGCGTGTGCACCTAGCCATCACCCCAAAACCGTGCTCTGCTGTACCTCTCTTTAGATTCCTGCAGGTTGCTTGAATAGTCGGATGATGTCTGAGGCTTAAGGTACTGTAGCAAAGCTGGGGCTCCCCATTCCGGGTGCTGTAAGCCCATCCTTGCAGTCTCCAGAGGGATCTGCGAATAAGTCTGCGCTTCTTGCTTCTACTAGGGTCCCCTGCCTGAGCAGACAGGAGCAGTGGAGGCCCAAGCAGAATGAAGAAAGGAAGGTGTGCTCTTGGGAAGGACGCATCTATGGGATCTTGGAAGTTCTACCTACATTGAGATGACTGACACCTGCTTTCTTCCTTTCTTTTTTGAAAATCAATGAATGAATTTAGGCCTGAGCCCTGTCTCTGAGCTTCTTTTGCTCAAAGCTAGTGCTCAACCACGTGAGCCACAGCACCACTTCTGGCTTCTTCTGTGGATGTGGTACTGAGGAATCGAACCCAGGGTTTCGTGCATGGTAGGTGAGCACTCTACCACTGAGCCACATCCCCAGCCCTGTCACCTGCTCTCTAGAACATCTCATTTACCCTCACAGAGGGGCAAGGATGTCCTTTTCAGGACACTCTCCCTTAGCTTTATCTGCTCAAGGTTGGCGTTCTACCACTTGAGCCACAGCTCCACTTTGGCACTTTTGCTATAAGATTATCATGGAGACTTTTCTTCCCCCAGGGCCGGTTTTGAATCACAATCCTCACATTTCAACCTTCTGAGTAGCTTGGATTTCAGGCATGAACACCCGTGCCCAGCAAGAATATCCTTTGTAGAGGTTCACCAGGAAATGACTTAATGGTATTTAACAGCCAGTCTCCTCTCCTCCCCTCCCCTCCCTTCCCCTCTTCTTCCCTTCTTTTCCCTTCCCTTCCCTTCCTCCCTCCTTTCTTCCTCTCTCTCTTTTCTTTCTTTTTATTTTTGTCGGTCATGGGGCTTGAACTCAGGGCCTGGGCGCTGTCCCTCAGCTCTTCAGTTCAAGGCTAGCGCTCTACCACTTGAGCCACAGCGCCACTTCCGACCTTTTCTGTTTATGTGATGCTGAGGAATCGAACCCAGCGCCTCATGCAGGCAAGGCAAGCGCTCTACCACTGAGCCACCTTCCCAGCCCCTCTTTTTCTTTCTTTCTTTCTCCCTTTCTTTTTTGTCAGTCCTGCGGCTTGAACTCAGGGCCTGAGCACTCCACTTCTGGCATTTTGTTGATTAATTGGACATAAGAGTCTCACAGACTTTCCTGTTCAGCTGGCTTCAAACCTTGATCCTCAGATCTCAGCCTCCTGAGTAGCTAGGATGACAGACGTGAACTACTGGTGCCTGATTCGTCCTCCCTCCCTTCCTTCCTTCCTTCCTTCCTCCCTCCCTCCCTTCCTTCCTTGTCCTCTCTCTCTCTCCCTCCTTCCCTCCCTCTCTTTCTCTTTCCCTCCCTTGCTTTTCTTTTTTTTCCCTGGTAGAGAGTGAGAGTTCTTCTTTGATCACAGAGCAATTTTGTCCTCATGATGAGCCAGAGGTGGAATCATTTCCTGTGCTTCACAGGGGACGAAAGAGTTGGTCTGGTCTCCCTGGTCCACTTGGGACCGAGGGAGCTGTAACTATGAACATGGTGTTAGCTCCTTCACACCCTTGCTTAGCTCCTGGTGAGCAGCTCACAGAGAAGATTCTGCTGGCTGACTCATGGTCTCATCCATCTCTGTCTGGCACAGGCCATTAACCACTTCATTATTTGCTTGCTGGCTTTGAACTCAGGGCCTCATGTTCACCCTGCTGGCCCTCTACCACTTGAGCCACAGCTCCACGTCTAGATTTTTCAGTGGTTCATTGGAGATAAGCGTCTCACAGACTTTCCTGCCTGGGCAGGCTTTCAGCTATGATCCTCAGATCTCAGCCTCCCGAGTAGTAACTGGGCTCTGAGGACAGATACTTATTTGGAGTGGTGGGTAGCTCCAAAGAGAGTAACTAAGGGCTTATTACAGGGGTGATGGGGGTAGTCCCCAGAGTGAGGCTATCTTAGGAGGTGTGTAGGCTGCCACATTTGATGATGACGGTCAAGCTGGGTTTGTGAGAATGGGAAGGGGCTCAAGTCACACAAGAATTCACACGAGCTGGTGGCTCACGCCTGTCACCCTAGCTACTCAGGAGGCTGAGAGCTGAGGATCATGGTTCAAAACCAGCCCAGGCAGGAAAGTCCATGAGACTCTTATCTCCAATGAACCACCAGAAAACTGGAAGTGGCGCTGTGGCTCAAGTGGTAGAGCGCTCACCTTGAGCACAGAGAGAGAGAGACTCAGGGGACAGTGCCCAGGCCCTGAGTTCAAGCCCCAGGACCTGCGACCCTCCCCCCCCCAAATAAAAGTTGTAATTGATGAGTTTGTGTTTTGTTTTGTTTTCCCATCAAGCCTCATGCTTTCAAAGGAGCAGTTAGACCCAATGCCTAGGCCTGTGTCTCTCTCCATGAATTAGATTCAAGCTAGACAGAGCAGGTGCAGAAGCCATGAACTATGGATTGATTTATGCTAGAACGGTTTCCTCCAGATGAAACGGTTCCCTCCCCCCCTCCAGCTCCATACAGCCCCAATCAGTATGTGAGTCATGGGAGAAATCCTGTGAACCCTAATTGTCACCTGGTGTCTGTTTGGGGGGGTGTAAGTGGGGAGAGACTTAGTCAAGGGAGGAGCTTACTGGGACTTCTTAATCTTTTGCCAATTGTTTACTTACCTGTGAGTTGTTCAATTGGAAGACTGGGTGGTGATTTATCAAAAGGTATACCAGGAAAAGTTGTCCTGGTTTTCTAAGACCTCCAAACCTGGCTCACACCAAGTCTCTGGCAAGAAGGTAAGCTCTAGTTTGCTGGCTTTGTGTTTTCTAGAGTGGGCTGGAGTTTGAGCCACCATTTATGGAGAGATAGGTAGATGCTAGGGTGGTGTTCAAAGCCTAGGTTTTGGGTGGATTCAAGTTGGACTTTCATGACTGCTACTTGCAAACTGTGTGTTTTGAACTTTCTAACTCAGCCATTTGAATCTTCGCTCAATAGTCTTCTTAATTAATTTTTTTCCCCCCAGGAAATGCTTCCTGGATATTCTCGGATATTCTGCAAACCTGTCTTCTGGAACTTGTGATTGTTCTGCTTCTTTGAATATTCACAAGTAGGTATTTTCTTCTTCTTGGGTCTCATTGCATGATGAGAATTCAGCTAAACGATGTTGAATGGGAACAGTAATGGCGAGAGTCTGGATCATAGTTCTGATCTTAATGGGATGATTCAAATGTTTCCCATGAAGTGTGGTGGTGGTTGATGTATGATCTGATAATAGGCATAATTGATCAGCTTAACAAAGCTTCTTTATACTTTTTAAAAACAGATGCCCAAGTTGATTCCATTCTTGACATCAAAATGGTCCAATGGCTTTTTTCCTTTATTCTCTTATGCTAATGCATTCATTATCTTTTTTTCCTGTTAACCTGATTATTTTCCTAAGTTGGATCATCCTTTTTTTTTTTTGCAAGCCTGGAACTTGAACTCAGGGCCTGGGCACCGTCCCTGAGCTTCTCTTGCTCAAAGCTAGCACTCTACCACTTGAGCCACAGCGCCACTTCTGGCTTTTGTTGTGTCTGTGGAACTGAGGACTCGAACCCAGGGTTTCATGCATGGTAGGCAAGCGCTCTACCACTAAGCCGGCTTCCCAGCCTCCTTAACTTTTTCACTCAAGGCTAGCGCTCTATCACTTGAGCCACACCCCCACTTCTAACTTTTTGGTGGCTCATTGACGATAAGAGTTTCTTGCTTGGGCTGGCTTTAAACAGAGCTCCTCAGATCTCACCTCCTAAGTAGCCCGGGATTCTAGGCATGCGCTACTGGCTCTTCTACCACTTTTGTTGGGTGTGGTGTCCCGTCAGGGCGATTGCTCATGAAGTGTCTCCCCTGAAGCAGGAGGCTGGCGGACATGCTGAAGGAGCTCCAGGTGTCCCTGTCGCTGGTCCTGCTACTTGCCTGTGGCTTTCTCTACCGGCTCAGCCTGAGGTCCCGCTGCCTCTTCTCCTGTCTGCCTCCTTTCAAGTCCCCCCAGGGGTCCGAGGACCTCTTGCGTCAAGGCCGCAGTATAGTATTCATAGAGACCTCCGAGAGAATGGAGCCCACGCCCCTGGTCTCCTGTGCCGTGGAGTCTGCAGCCAAGGTTTATCCCAAGCAACCAGTGGCTTTCTTCATGAAGGGGCTGAGTAATGCCACCCAACTGCTCCCCAACTCCAGCTACCCAGCCTTGTCCCTGCTCTTGGCCATCGACAACGTTTTCTTCTTCCCACTGGACATGGAGAGACTGTTTGAAGGCACCCCTTTATATGCGTGGTACACTCACGTAAGTGCTCAGGGAGACTAAGAGTTGCGGGGGGGGGGGGGGAACCACCTCGGGGAACACAGAGCTGGGTTCCCATCGACCCAACTGTGTCGATGGGTAAACTGAGGGCGGAGGTGGGACTCTTACTGGCTTTCTTCCCATCCTGTGAAGTCCTGATGGAAGCAAATGGAAGACTCTTCATTAGTTAATTAATTAATCTTTAATTTTAATTTTGTGGTCAGTGGTGGGTCTTGAACTCGGGGCTTAGGTGCTGTCCCTAAGCTCTTTTGCTCAAGGCTTGGTGCTCTACCCTTTGGGCCACGTTAGTTTTCTGGACGTTCGTTGGAGTTAAGAGTCTCAAAGACTTTCCTTACCTGGGCTGGCTTTGAACTGAGATCCTCAGGTCTCAACTTCCTGGGTAGCTAGGATGACAGGCGTGAGTCACCAGTGGCGGGCTTGGGGCTCACCTTTAGATGGGTGTCTTTGTGTCACACCCATTTCGTTGAGGACCTCGATCACTTTGGAGGCTCTTTTAATTTTGTTTTCTTCCCCTAGTTTTGGGGCTTGACCTCAGGGCGGGCACACTGTCCCTGAGTTTTTCTGCTCAAGACTAATGTTCTACATTACATACCTCCATTGCCAGCCTTTTGGTAATTAATTGGAGATGAGAATCTCATGGACTTTCCTGCCTGGGCTGGCTTTGAACCACGATCCTCAGATCTCAGCCTCCTGAGTTGCTAGCATGACAGGCGTGAGCCACCAGAACCTGGCCTAGAGGTGCTTCTTAATGGAATGAAAATTTTGATACTTTTTCTAGACATGTGGAACATTAAATTTTCATGATAGCTTAAGCTCACCTTTGTTAAGTTTCTCTCTTTCTATCTTGCACCAGAGGTAGTAGCCAGGCCATGTTTAACATGAAAATGATGTAAGTAGCAAATTCATGAAGTGTCAGTGGGATTCTTCTATTCCAGATCAGATTATATTGAGGGATGATTGAGGGATTCCTGGAGCTCTTAGAAATGTTATAACCCTCTGCTTAGCACCATAACATGATAAGAAAATAATATTTCAATGTAATATTCTTATCACAAAGGATCCAGTCAGGGAATACTCCGAAGGAAATTATAAAGCTAGGCACCGGTGGCTCACGCCTGTCATCCTAGCTACTCAGAAGGCTGAGATTTGAGGATCACAGTTTGAAGTCAGCCTGGGCAGGAAAGTCCATGAAACTTTTATTTCCAATGAACCACCAGAAAATAGGAAGTGGTGCTGTGGCTTGAGAGGTAGAGTGCTAGCCTTGAGCTGAAGAGCTCAGGGACAGCGCCCAGGCCCAGAGTTCAAGCCCCATGACTGACAAAAACAACAAAAAAAGCTAATAAGAGCATGAGGCTCTGAGTTCAGCCCCAGTACAGACAGACACACAGACACACACACACACACACACACACACTTTTCATATACCTATATGTGTGTGTGTGAATTTATATATTATATATATGCATATATTTGTCAGCCATCATGAACAGCATGATGACATTTTCAGATGAAGAAGATACTAGGGGAAGAAGATGGATACTTTTAGATGAAGAAGATGAAGATTTCTGACAAGTGTTAATTGTATCCAGACTTCTAGTATTTTCTGTGAGAATGCTGCTGTTTGTACTGATTACTCTTTACCTCTTTTCAGTTCATTGTTTTGCTCATATTTTGGCATTTGTAGTTGTTTCTGATCTCTCTCTCTCTCTCTCTCTCTCACACACACACACACACACACACACATTCATCTTATCAGCAAAGCGTGGCTAGTTTTATCTGCAACGTGGAACGTCTCTCTCCACCCCCTGCCTATTGCCCTGTTCCAAGCAGCCACCATCTCCTCCTGGATTATTTAGCAGCCTCTTAACTTGGCTGTTTCTGCCTTTTGAGTTCCTCACCCCTGCTCCAGACTCTTTTCCACTCTGTTGCTGATGTGACCCTTTGAAAACCAGCTCAAGTCACATTACCTCCCCCTCTCTCTTTCTCTTTTTCTCTCTGGTAGTTTGAACTCAGTGTATTGTGTTCCTTTGGCTCGCTTGCTCAGCTGGCACTCTACCGCTTGAGCCATGACTCCAGCCCTGCTTTTTGCTGTTTTTTTTTTGAACTAAAATCACATTGACTTTCTGCCCAAGGCTGACTTCCAGCTGTGATCCTCTAGATCTCAGCCTCCTGAGTTAGCTAGGATTACAGAGGTGCGCTGCAGGTGCAAAGCCCACCCCAGCCTCTGTGATCTGTGCTCACTCCTCCCCCTCTCTGTTCTCACACCTGCCCCTCTCTCCTCTGCTTCTGCCACACAGCCAGACTCTGCTACTGCCTCAGGGCCCTTGAACTGGCTGTTCCCTTTCACCTCAAACCAACAGTCTTCTCTCAGATAATGGCCATGCCTTCCCCACCCACTTCATTCAAGGTTCTGCCCGATTTTCCATGCCTGCCCCTTTCATAGCTCTCTCACCCAGCTTTGACTTCTCTTTGTAGTCCTTATCAACAGCCAGCAAAGTGCATATTTGCCTATTTCTTGTCCATGGTCTCCCAGGAGGGATTTTGGTCCCTTTCTTCGCTGCTACCACCGTGGCAGCTGGAACAGAGCTGGCTCTGCGATACCAAAGCGGAGAACAAGCAAGCCAGGGCGCGCCTTTGAACATTCTGCATCGAGTTTGCAGCTAGCATATGCATTCTACCTTCCAAGACCTTTGTTTCTCCCTTTCTCAGATCAGCTTGTTAGCGTTTTGGAGGACTTGTGTTTGCTTCTTCCTCCACCGTTTAAGATCTGTCCTGGAGTGCAGAAGACATACAGCTCGTTGTGAAATCCCCGCTGGATGTCTTCGTGTACCTTTCCATTGTTTTTAATTAAAAAAAAATAAATTAAAAAAATAAAAGTTCAATGAAATCTTCAAGCGTTGTTAAAAAATCTTTCTGTGGATATGAAGTGCTGTTAAACGTTTTTTACCTTAGGAGGTAAGTGTGGAGAGTGGGTGAAATTAGGCTGGATGGCAAATAGATTTGGGGGGAGCTACTCTAGGCTACACTCCTCGTCTTCCTCACTGCTGATTGGCTCCGGGTCACACTACTATTAAGAAGCCCCTCTCTCCTCTTGATGCTGATTGGCTCTGGGCCCTGCCTCCTCCTGGGAAGCCCCGCCTCCTCACTGTTTCTTTGGCTTTGGGCCCCGCCTCCTCCCGGGAAGCCCCGCCTCCTCACTGTTTCTTTGGCTTTGGGCCCCGCCTCCTCCCTGGAAGCCCCGCCTCCTCACTGTTTCTTTGGCTTTGGGCCCCGCCTCCTCCCGGGAAGCCCCTCCCTCTCCTCGCTGCTCCTTTGGCTCTGGGCCCCGCCTCCTCCTGGGAAGCCCCTCTCTCTCCTCGCTGCTCCTTTGGCTCTGGCCCCGCCTCCTCCTGGGAAGCCCCTCCTTCTCCTCTCTGCTCCTTTGGCTCTGGGCCCCGCCTCCTCCCGGGAAGCCCCGCCTCCTCACTGCTCCTTTGGCTCTGGGCCCCGCCTCCTCCCGGGAAGCCCCGCCTCCTCACTGCTCCTTTGGCTCTGGGCCCCGCCCCCTCCCGGGAAGCCCCTCCCTCTCCTCCCTGCTGATTGGCTGCTGCTCCTGTAGATCAACAGCGACAAGGAGAAATACTGGCTGCACGTCAGCTCGGACGCGTCGCGCCTGGCCATCATCTGGAAATACGGCGGCATCTACATGGACACGGACATCATCTCCCTCAGGCCCATCCCGGAGGCGAACTTCCTGGCGGCGCAGGGCTCCCGCTCGTCCAGCAACGGGGTGTTCGGCTTCGAGCCGCGCCACCCTTTCCTGTGGGCCTGCATGGAGAACTTCGTGGAGCACTACAACTCGCACCTCTGGGGCAACCAGGGCCCCCTGCTGATGACCCGGATGCTGAGGGTGAGGTGCCGGCTGGGCGATTTCCAGGAGCTGGGGGACCTCAAGTGTCAGAACGTGTCCTTCCTGCACCCCCAGAGGTTTTACCCCATCCCCTTCCGGGAGTGGAGGCGTTACTACCAAGTGTGGGACCCCCCGCACCCCAGCTTCCCGGCCTCCTACGCCCTGCACCTGTGGAACTTCATGAACCGCCGGGAGAGGAAGACCGTGCAGGCGGGCAGCAACACCCTGGCCGAGCACCTCTACCGTCAGCACTGCCCCAGGACCTACAGGGTCCTGGTTCGAGGCCCACAGGGCTTTGTGACCAGAGGCCTGGGCCCAAGGACCCCGTAGAGCCCAGGCTGGGCGGCTGCTGTGTGACCCTGTGGCACTGGGCCTCCTCCTGGACTGCCATGATTGCTTTCTTGGAGTCTCAGGAGGAGTATGGCTGTCTACGCTAGCACAGACCCAGAGAACAGTGGCTGGAGGAAAGAAATTTTTAAAAAGCCACCAGGGTATCTCTCTGTCATGAACACAGAAGTCTGAAGGCAGGTGATTCAGGGACCGGAGAGATGGTCACCAGAGGTGGGACACTACAGTTAGGTTCAACTTTTCGTTGTTGTCATTGCTGGTCATGGGGCTTGAACTCGGGGACTAAGCACTGTCCCTGAGCTCTTTGCTGCTCAAGGTGAGCAGCCCTACCACACTGAGCCACAAGCGCCACTTCCAGCTTTCTGGTGGTTCATTGGAGATGAGAGGCTCAGGGACTTTCCTGCTTTGAACCGTGATCCTCCTAACACAGCTTCCTATGCGGCTAGGATGACAGGTGTGAGCCACCAGGCTCCTGGCCTAGGTTCAACTTCTGGCTTACCCCCAGGATGACTTCCTCTTGGTTTGTCCCTGGAATTCCTGCTGGATTTCTCTCTCCCAAGGTGGGGTGGGAGGGGCAGGAGTCTCAGGGTTAGTCCTTCCCAAAGGAGTAGGGGAGGAGTTACAAGTTGGTTCTCATTTCTATAAGTGAAGAATACATAGCTCATGGTTCTCCAACGCCAGTTTCCTGAACATCAAGGTTTTGTGGGCCTTGATTTTGTGGGCTTGGTTAGAACCTTTCTCACCATCTCAAAACACATGGTTTTCTTCCCAGGAGACTAAATATGATGTAAATATCCTGTTTCCTTGAGCTGTGCTCTGATGATACGAATTTACTGTGGCCATTAATGTTACTTTGATACTTATAGGTGCTTTGTCTAGGATAGCATGTGGGAAAGAGGTGACTAATGGGTGCCATAATAAATGCATTTTGCAACCTGGACAATGGTAGTGGTGGTATGTGTATGTGTGTGTGTGGGGTGGGGGCGTTGGGAATTGGATATTATAATTTTGTATGTTCATTTTGGTGTTGCTGAGAGTTTTACATGTTCAACTGGTAATGTTGTGTTTTTCTTTTTCTTTTCTTTTTTTTTTGTTGGTCATGGGGCTTGAACTCTGGACCTGAACACTGTCCCTCAGCTCTCCAGCTCAAGGCTAGTGTTCTGCCACTTGAGCCACAGCACCACTTCTGGTTTTCTGAGTGGTTTATTGGAGATAAGAGTCTCACGGACTTTCCTGCTCAGGCTGGCTTTGAACCTCAATCCTCAGATCTCAGCCTCCTGAGTAGCTAGGATGACAGGCGTGAGCCACCAGCACCCAGCTATGTTGTGTTTTCTTCTGTTGTGAATTACATTACATCTTTTGTACACTTTTCTAGTGGACTGTTTTTCTACTTTATCCATTTGTAACCATTTTCTATGTTATCAAGACTGACGCTTTATGATTACATTGCAAGGTTTTTCAGTCTGTTATTTCCTTTTTCAGTTCATTTATTAGGAGTTAATTATGTATGTGTGTGAATGCGTGCGTGCACCTGTGTGTGTGTGTGTGTGTGTGTGTATGTACCAGGAATATGTGTGTACCAGGATTTGAACTCAGAGTTAGTGTCTCACTTTTTTTTTTTTGTCAGTCAGAGGGCTTGAACTCAAGCTTTGGGATCTGCACCTGAGCTATTTTTGCACCAGGCAAGTGCTCTTACCACTTTGAGCCACAGTCCCACTTTTGGTTTTCTGGTGGGTGATTCATTGGCGATAACAGTCTCACAGACTTTCCTGCCCAGACCAGCTCTGACCCAGCTGAGTCTCTCACTTGTGCTTGGCTTTTTTGTTCTAGGCTGGCACTCTACCATTTGAACCAATTCTCTAGTCTGGCATTTTGCTAGTTGAGCTACAGAGTCTCACAGACAGTGCCCAGGCCTGGAGTTCAAGTATTATCTTTTAAATCATCATCTTGCCAGGCTTTCTTGTTTACAGCTAGTGTTCTACCATTTCAGCCATGCCTCCAGTCCAGCATTTTGCTAGTGAATTAGAGATAGACTCTCAAGGGCTGGCTTTGAACCACTCTCTCCGAGGGTTTAGCCTCCTAAGATGCTGAGATTACAGGTATGAGCCACCTAGCCCGGCCACAAGTTTCATTCCCTCATGTTTTTGTCGTGTAAATTCAGTGAATTGGTTTATCACAGACTTTCCTGCCCACAGCTGGCTTTGAACCATGATCCTCAGATCTCAACCTCCTGAGTAGCTAGGATGACAGGCGTGATGATGTTATTTTAAACCTAAGTTAATCATGTTTGGGTCTTTGCTTTCCATTCTTCAGGATAGATACCCAGAAATGGAATTTGCTGGCTCAGGTGGCCAATTCTGTATTTTATTTAATTTTTTTAGAGGTCCTAAAGAGAAAAAGAGAGACAAGGAAAGGAAAAGGGGAAGGAAGAAAGAAAAGGAAGGCAAGGAAAGAAAAGAGAAGAAGGAAAAGGAGAGAACACATCCCAGACAAGCCAGCTGAGGAGAGGCAGGCTGGCAGGGGAGAGGGGGGTGGGGGGGGGAAAAGCCACCAGGAGGGAACTTGGGGTGCTGTTGGTTAGTTCTGAGCCTCAGGCCTAGGTGAAAGGCTGGAGCACACCCAAAGCCAAGTGTGGGTGCTGGAGAAGCCCCAGGAAGGTCCCTTTAGTGTCCTGCCATGGGTCCCGGCCGGCTCCCCACTGGCTAAAGGCTGTGCCCAGGCCTTGTACCCCCCAGGCCCTGTGGTAATGGGGTGATCAGAGGAGTAAGAACCAGCCAGCCAGCCTCCAGTCCTTTGGGCAAGGCCGGACACGTCCTGGATATTCCCCCCCCCTTCTTTCTTCTTCTCCTTCCCTCTCTCCTCCTCCCCCCTCTCTCCCTTCCTCTCTCTAGCTCTCTTTTCTTCTCTCCACTCCCTTCCCCCCTCTCTCCCCCTCCTTTCTCCCTCCCTCCCTCTCCCTCTCCCTCTCCCCCCACCCTTCCCCCCTTTTCCCTCTCTCCCTCCCTCCCTCTCTCCTCCCCCCTCCTCTCTCTCCCTCTCCCCTCTCTCTCTCTCTCTCTCCCTCCCTCTCCCTCTCTCTCTCTAACGGACTAAACGTGGCATTCCTTCCCCTCCCTGCCCCCTCCCCGGCCCAGGCGGGGCCGCGGTCCCGGGCCGACCCAGGGCCCCCTGTCTGTCCTCGGGGGTGAGGGGTGGGGACACCCCCGGAGCCGACCCCACCCCTGCCCGCCCCCAGCCTGCCGGGGCGGCGGTGGGGGGGGGGAGGCGGGCGGGGCCGGAGGCGGGGACCCCGGGCTCGATCTGGGGGTGGGGGGGAGGGGAAGCAACCCCACCCCCACCCCCACCCCTGCGGCCCGGGGGAGAAGTTATGCCCGGAATCCGGACCGCGGGGTTACACGGGAGCGATCGGGCGGCACCCCGCACCCCGGCACCCCGCACCCCGGCACCCCGCACCCCGGCACCCAGGTACCCCGGGCCGGGAGGGAGGGCGCGCAGGGGGGAACACCTCTGACGGAGGCCAACAAACCAACATGCCGCCTGTCTCTAAAGAGAGGCCGGCTAAAGTTTAACAAAAGACGGGGGGGGGAGGGGGGGGGGAGAGGGAGAGGGAGAGAGAGAGAGGGAGACAGGGAGAGAGGGAGAGAGAGAGGAGGAGAGAGGGAGAGAGAGAGGAGGAGAGAGGGAGAGAGAGAGGAGGAGAGAGGGAGGGAGGGAGGGAGAGAGGGAGGAGAGGCGGACACACAGAGGCTGCCCTGCTCGTGGCCGGGCTGTGGATGGGGGGGGGGGGAAGGGTCTGTGGAGTTCTGGGAAAGGGGGTGGGCGGCCGGGTGGAGGGAGGGTGGGGGGGGACCAGGCCGGGGCACAGGGCAGGGGACCAGGCCTGGATGGGAAGGGCCTTGCCAAACCATCCACGGGGACCCAGGGCCTGTGCCTTCTTGTCTGCCGGAGTTTCATTTTCAACTGCCGGATCTCTCTGACTCTCCTCCCCCTTCCTTCCTTTTTCCTTCCTTCCTTCCTTCCTTCCTTCCTTCCTTCCTTCCTTCCTTCCTTCCTCCCTCCCTCCCTCCCTTCTTCCTTCCTTTCTACCTCCCTTCCTTCCTTCCTTCCCTCCTTCCCTTTGGTTCTTCCTCCCTCCCTCCCTCTTTCTTTCTTTTCCTCCCTGCTTTCTCTGCCTCCCTCCTCCTTACCCCCTCTCTCCTTCTCTCCTTCTCTCCCTCTCTCTTTCTTTCTATTAATTGTACACAGGTTTTCACTGTGGCATTTCTGTGTGTGTGTGTGTGTGTGTGTGTGTGTGTGCGCTGGTCCTAGGGCTTGAACTCAGGGTCTGAGTGCTGTCCCCCAGCTTTTGGCATAAAGCTAGCACTCTACCACTTGAACCACAGTTTTTTATGGTTCATTGCAGATAAGAGTCTCACAGACTTTCCTGACTAGGCTGGCTTCAAACTGCGATCCTCAGATCTCAGCCTCCTGAGTAGTTAGGATGACAGGCGTGAGTCACCAATGCCCGGCTCTTTTTGTGTGTCTCTTTCTCTCTGTGTGCCTATCTGTCTTTCTGTGCCTCTCTCTGTGTTTCTCTGTCTGTCTGTCTGTCTGTCTGTCTGTCTGTCTCTCTCTCTCTCACACACACACACACACACACACACCAATAGATAAATACAATAAGAAGGAGAGGGAGGTGGCTTACAGCAGTGTCTCTGAATGGCTCTGTCTCTTGTAACCTGAAGGTCCTGCGAAGTGTGGGTGAGAATTCCTAGGGCATTTGTTTGTTTGTATTTTAGAAAAGAACAGAATCTGAGTGTGAGGTGTGTCACAGGCCGTCTCTTCCCCACGGGGGCTGCTGCGGGCTCCTTTGTGTTGGGGATGTACCCAGGGTGTTTGCAAACTGTGAGATGGTTTCCTTGGTAGCTGTGCCAATTAGCGCTAATGATATGGCTGAGATCTCAGGGGTGGGGTGGGGTGGGGGGTGGGGGCGATGCTAGCTGGCAGCCTGGGCAGGTTTGTCAACGTTGGTCTGGCAGCCCCTTTGAAATGTGGTGCCAACTCCTCCTCTTCGCTGCTTGGAGAGACAGTGAGGTGGTTGGTGTTGTCTAGATGTTAATTTAAAGGCGGGGGGGGGGGGGGGGGGGGGGAGGATGATGACGCCTTGGGCTGATCTTGTGGATGTTATCTTGGATAGGTTTTAGGTGAGGAGCATTTATAGTCTTCTCCAGGGATCAGGTCCCTACGGTGGTGGTGGCTGTGTTGGGGGAGGAAGGGTGACACTGGACAGAACTGGGGTGCCTTCACGTTCTTCTTTCTTTTTCTTTTCTATTCTATTCTTTCTTTGTTTTTTGTCTGTCCTGGGGTTTGAACTCAGGGCATGGGCTCTGTCCCTGAACTCAAAGCTAGTGCTCTACCACTTTGAGCCACAGCTCCACTTCCCGTTTTTGAGTGGTTCACTGGAGATAAGAGTCTCACTCACTTTCCTGCCCCCCCCCTCCCCCAGGCTGGCTTTGAACCATGATCCTCAGATCTCAGCCTCCTCAGATCTAGCTAGGATGAGGGGCGGAGGGAGTGAGCCAAGAAAGCAAGATTGAAGTGCTAATGAGACATTCTTTGGGGGTCATGACATTGGGCTGGCATTGGGACCTGTTCTGGGATCCCATCCCAACCGAACACAGCCCCTGTGTCCTGGAGACTGAATCGTCTCCATCCTGCGTTTCTAAGCCAGCGACCGATAATTCCATCTGGAGAAGGTGGTGTCCTTGTCCCTGGGGTGTTTTGTTTCCAGGTAGCCTGCAGCCCTCTCACTTGGCTCTGTCTTTCCTCTACCCAAACCAAGGAAGCCCTCGGGGAGAGCTGAGACCTGTTCAGCCAAGCCCGGCCCAGAGACAGGGAGACCTGGAAGTTGCCAGCACTGACCCTGATCACCATTTGCAGTGAATTCTGTCATTCCTTGAAGCAACCTCAGGTACCGTAAGTCCCACTATTTGCATGTCATCATTATCACAGTCAAAACCACCCGCATCGCATCGCCTTAGTCCTAATCAGTACCACCACCACCATCAGCACCATCACCATCGTGATTGCCACCACCACTGCCGTCATCATCATCACCAGCGCCACCGCTACCAGCACCGCCATCGTGCGTTAGTTTGGTTTAATTCACAAGCTCTGGAGCCTGTCTGAACTTGATTTCACTCTTCTTGGCTTCAATGCCTGATGGCTGAATGACTTGGGGGTGGGGCAGACCCCTAACTTCTTTTTTTTTTTTGGTCGGTCGTGGGGCTTGAACTCTGGGCCTGGGTGCTGTCCCTCAGCTCTTCAGCTCAAGGCGAGCGCTCTACCACTTGAGCTACAGCGCCACTTCCGGTTTTCTGGTGGTTTATTGGAGATAGGAGTCTCACGGTCTCTCCTGCCCGGGCTGGCTTTGAACCGCGATCCTCAGATCTCAGCCTCCTGAGTAGCTAGGATGACAGGCGTGAGCCACCAGCGCCCGGCGACCCCTAACTTCTCAGGAGGGTCAGGCTGTACATCTGCCAGATGCAGCCTATCAAAGCTACTTCCAGGGCTAGCTAGAAAGCACGCCTAGCCAGGCTGGTACCATGTCTGCAGGTAGATATAGCATCCCTCCTCCTCCTCCTTCTCCTCTTTATGATTCTTCATTTCCCCACAGAGATGCCATTGTATTAACAAGCTTGTACTGTAGTTTCCTTTTTTTCTTCTGGTGCTGGGGCTTGAACTCAGGGCCTGGGCACTGTCCCTGAGCTTCTTTTTTTGCTCAAGGCGAGCGCTCTACCACTTGAGCCACAGTGCCACTTCCAGCTTTTTCTGTGTATGTGGTACTGAGGAGTCGAACCTAGGGCTTCATGCATGCTAGGCGAGCACTCTACCACTGAGCCACCTTCCCAGCCCCTGTGGTTTCTTTTCTCCCTGGCCCTTCATAGACTGTTCTGCAACTTGGGTTTCTATAGCTGATAGAAGCACTTTGGACAGAGGTAATGGTCTGATGGTCACAAAAGCCGGAGAAAGAGAATGAGGGGGTGGTGGTAGCTGAGGCTCAGACAAAGCTAGAAAAACATACAGTAGAAATGGGGTGCAGGTGGGCAGCAGAATGTCAGGGGGCACTGGGCCCCTCCACCCCCTGGCTTTAAAGGTAAAGAATAGTTCCTGTTAAGGAGGACGCTTAGGGAACAGTCCGAGAAGAGGAGAGGTAGCAGGGCTCACGCCTGTCATCCTAGCTACTCAGGAGGCTGAGATCTGAGGATCGTGGTTCAAAGCCAGCCTGAATAGTAAAGTCTGTGAGACTCTTACGTCCCATGAATGACTCAGAAAAAGCCGGAAGTGGTGCACTGTGGCTCAGGTGGTAGAGCGCTTGCCCTACCTTGACCTTAACGTCGAGAGAAGACGGGTTGGCACACACTTGAGACCAGAGCTTAAATAGTTAAACAGTGACATTCTCGGCATCCTGTTACCCTTGCCCGGGCACGCCTGGTAACCTGCTGTTGCTCTAATGCACAGCCAGTTGGGAGAGGCTGCAGCTCGGAGCTAAGCATGGTGAGTCCTGTGTCACCTCACCATGGCTTTTACTTCTGCAACTCCACACTCGAGGTAAGGGTAGGCTGGACTGTCTACCTGTGGCCGTGGTTGGGGTGGGAGTGGTTCATGGCTGGGTGGTACTATTATTATTATTATTATTATTTTGGTCCATTGTGGGGCTTGAACTCTGGGCCTGGGTGCTGTCCCTGAGCTCTTCAGCTCAAGGCGAGCGCTCTACCACCTGAGCCACAGCGCCACTTCTGGTTTTCTGGTGGCTCACTGGAGATAAGAGTTTCATAGACTTTCCTGCCCAGGCTGGCTTTGAACCACGATCCTCAGGTCTCAGCCTCCTGAGTAGCTAGGATGACAGGCGTGAGCCAATGGCACCGGACTATTATTATTATTATTACAAATCTGTGATAGGGAAGAGCATTAGGGAAAGCCTGAAGCATCCTGTGGACAGTCTCAGGACCAGGCTGAGAGATTTGCACTCAGTACCTTGACAGCCAGGAGCCGTGCTGGACTCCAGGGTGGAGGGCAGGTGGGTGGTGGCTGACAACGCATCTGCATAGCCCTCAGGTCTGGCCATCTATTAAACAAGCAGGGAGGGGAATGAATGAGTGCACTGCAAGTAGAAGGGTAAAAGGAAAACTAATACTAATTTTAGGACAAGAAGACCCAAGCATCAGTGTTGAGTAGGGCCTAGTGCATGTAAAACCACCTGAATTTGCGTTTCCTGCCGTGGGGTTCATCTCTTCAGACCCTCCCCCCTTCCCCCCCTTTCCCCAGCCACTTTCCTTGTTTGTGAAGTGGGATCAATAATACTGCACCCACTCAAGTTTCCCACGGACCCCTTTAGGAGTTGCGTTTCCGCCTTGTGCTGCTGGTATTGGGCTCCCCCCGCACCTAGCTTCCATCCTCACATTGCCCAGCCTGGAGTGTCAAGTATGGGGCCTGTCCTAGGCTTGTTCCCCTCTGCCACTCCAGCCCTACCATTTGTTTCCCCCGGCCTTTATTCTTGGACTTTCCATGACTCTTAATGTAGAAGGAAGTTGGCCCAGCAGGGTAACGTCCACTTGCCTCCTCTTGTCTGTCACGTGCTCAGATCCTCAAAGCCAGCATACTGGTTTTTGGTTTTTGTTTTTGGGTCCGCCATGGGGCTTGAACTCAGGGCCTGGGCGCGGGCCCTGAGCTGCTTTGGCTCAAGGCGAGCGCTCTACCACTTGAGCCACAGCGCCATTTGCGGCTTTCTCTCTGTGTGTGGTACTGAGAATCCAACCCAGGGCTTCATGCCCGTGAGGCGAGCGCTCTACCACTGAGCCACCTTCCCAGCCCCTCCCCTGGCCCCTTTTTCTTGTCAGGAGTGGGGCTTGAACTCAGGGCCTGGGCGCTGTCCCTGAGCTCTTTTGCTCAAGGTTAACACTCTACCACTTGAGCCACAGCACCATTTCCGGTTTTCTGGTGGTTCATTGGAGATCAGAGTCTCACGGACTTTCCTGCCTGCCATCCTGAGATCTCAGCCTCCTGAGTAGCTAGGATGACAGACCTGAGCCCCTGGCGCCCAGATGTTTTTATTTGCCTCTTCTTGTCTCAGTCACATTCCCCACCCCCCTGCTATTTTTTTTTTCTTGTGATACTTGGACTTGAACTCAGGGCCTCATGCTTGCTACACTGGCACCCTTGAACCATACCTCCTGCCTTTGTTTCGCAAGTCCTGGGGCTTGAACTCGGGGCCTGGGCACTGTCCCTGAGCTCAAGGCGAGCGCTCTACCACTTGAGCCACAGAGCCACTTCCGGCTTTCTCTCTGTGTGGGGTGCTGAGGAATCGAACACTGAGGGCCTCATGCATGCGAGGCGAGCGCTCTACCCCTGAGCCAGCTTCCCAGCCCCTGTTCCTTTTCTGTTTCGTTTGTTATTCAGATAGGGTCTCGTGCTTCTGCCCTGTGCTTATCCTTAGACCTCCATCCTCCTGTCTTCCATTCCCCCTCCCCTCCAGGCTGTCTGCCACCTCCTCGGCCAGCTACCGTGGCCCTGGTGGCACCCCACCATCCCAGTGGTCAGCCCCATGCAGTCCCCGGTGGCCCCAGCTGAAGGCCTGGGCGGCGGTGGCGGTGGCGGCGGCGGCGGCTCTGCCCTCCCAGCCTTCAAGTTCCAGCCTCGCCGTGGGAGCCTCGACTGGAGGCGCATCAGCGCCCTGGACGTGGAGCGGGTGGCGCGGGAGCTGGACGTGGCCGCCCTGCAGGAGAACATAGCCAGCGTGACCTTCTGTGACCTGGGTCGCGAGGCCTGCAGCCGCTGCGGCCACCCCGTGGACCCCGCTCTGCTCAAGGTGCTGCGCCTGGCCCAGCTGACCATCGAGTACCTGCTGCACTGCCAGGACTGTCTGAGCGCCAGCGTGGCCCAGCTGGAGGCCCGGCTGCAGGCCAGCCTGGGCCAGCAGCAGCGGGGCCAGCAGGAGCTGGGCCGCCAGGCCGACGAGCTCAAGGGCCTGCGGGAGGAGAGCCGGCGCCGGCGCAAGATGATCAACACCCTGCAGCAGCTGCTCCTGCAGACCGGGGCGCACAGCTACCACCCGGTAGGGGACAGGAGGGATGGGCATCCCCCCCTCCACTCCTACCAGGTGACCAGGCCACCTAGCCAGTGCCCCAGGGCCAGCTGGTGCCTCTGTGGGTGGATCATTTGAGTCCTAGCACACGCCTGCAATCCCAGCGCTCGGAAGGAAAGCCTAGAAGTCCAAGAGCAGCCTCAGCCACAGAGCCAGACCCTGCTGAGCTATCATAGGCTTGGCTCAGAAAATCACCAGGGTGCAGGGCACCAGTGGCTCATGCCTGTCACCCTAGCAGCTCAGGAGGCTGAGATCTGAGGATCATGGTTCAAAGGCAACCCAGGCAGGAAAGCCCATGGGATTCTTTTTTTTTTTTTTTTGGGTCCGGTCTTGGGGCCTGAACTCTGGGCCTGGGCGCTGTCCCTCAGCTCTTCAGCTCAAGGCGAGCGCTCTACCACTTGAGCCACAGCGCCACTTCCGGCTTTTTTCTTTTTGCTTATGTGGTGCTGAGGAATCGAACCCAGGACCTCAGGCATGCAAGGCAAGCGCTCTACCACTGAGCCACCTTCCCAGCCCCGCCATGGGATTCTTAATCTCCAGAAAAACCCAGAAGTGGCACTGTGCCTCAAGTGATAGAGCACTCGCCTTGAGCTGAAGAGCTGAGGGACAGCGCCCAGGCCCAGAGTTCAAGCCCCACTACCGACCAAAGGAAAAAAAGAAAGAAAGAAAAGAAAATCACCAGGTGTTCAGGTCTGCCAGGAACTGAGGACTTTCTTATATTGCTAAATAACATTACCATATAACCTTATATTACCATATCATTATATTACCATATTATCAAATTATGTTATATTACCGTACAACATTAATATATACTTTTTTTTTTTTGGTCGGTCATGGGGCTTGAACTCTGGGCCTGGGCACTGACCCTCAGCTCTTCAGCTCAAGGTGAGCGCTCTACCACTTGAGCTACAGCACCACTTCTGGTTTTCTAAGTGGTTTTATTGGAGATGAGAGTCTCAGAGCTTTTCCTCTCCAGGCTGGCTTTGAACCACGGTCCTCAGATCTCAGCCTCCCGAGTAGCTAGGATGACAGGCGTGAGCCACTAACGCCTAGCCCTGTATTTTCTTATTGTATTGCCATATCACGGTGGGACAAAAGAAATCATTATGATATATTAACTAATGGAATAGTCATTAATAGTGGCTCATTTTGTGAGTGTGCCTTTATACACACACACAACTTGGGGCCTGAGGACTTACATCACAAATGCCAAGCCAGTTTCAATAGTTCCCCAGGGCACTGGGAGTAATTTCGGTTCCATCACTGCCTTAATCAGTTAATTACATTCTTCACTATGATCTCTCCTCTCCTCCTCTTTTTCTTCCCCTCTTCTTCCTGTGCCCCCACTTTCCTCCCCCTCTTCCTCTCTTCTTCATCCTCCTCTCCTCCACCTCCTTCTCCCTTCCTCCTTCTCTTTTCCTTCTCTTACCTGTCTCTCCTCCCTCCTTCCCTCCCCCCCCTTCTTTTCTGCCATTCTGGGGCTTGAACCCAGGGCCTCCTGCATGATAAGCACACCCCTTTATACAGAGCTCCAGCCCCTCAAGTTATTTATTTCCAAGGCAGCTCAGAGGAAGGGGCTTTACCTCCAGGGGGAAGTTCCCAGGCTATCCCAGGTGATCACTGTGTGTGTGACCCCCACCCCTGACCCCTACCTGCTCCCTCTCCATGCAGTGCCACCTGTGTGACAAGACCTTCATGAACGCCACCTTTCTGCGGGGCCACCTGCAGCGGAGGCACGCAGGCTTGGCGGACGGTCGTGGCGGCGGTGGTGGTAAGAAGCCCCGGGACCCCGCAGGTGGACTGGGGCTGGTCAGTGCCAGAAATGCCCTGCACCCTAGGGCAGTGAACTAGGGGAGGGGGGCAGATGCGCTGATCTTAGATCTCCACTGTACCCCCACCCCTCTGTCTTGCCTTGGATTCCCCCCCCAAACACCCTCAGGAAGGCAGCAGCAGCAGCAGCAGGAGCGACCTCTGGAGGAGGCCCTGGAGGAGCTGCGGGCCAAGCTCAAGGACACCCAAGCGGAGCTGGAGGCCCAGCGGGAGGCCGAGAGGCAGAGGCAGCAGCAGGTGGGCGGGGCCGTGGGGGTGGGTGTGTCACCTGCAGGTGGGCGGGGCCACCCGAAGGGTGGGTCTTCTGCATGGGGGCGTGGCCACCCGGTGGGTGTGTCTGCGGCAGGTGGGCGTGGCCCGCCCAGGGCATGTCTTCTGCGAGTGGGCGTGGTCAGGTCCGATGGGGGTGTCTTCGGCAGGTAGGCGTGGCCAGGAAGCATCTAGGACACTCAGGCCTAGAAGTTGCCACCGATTCCCCCTGGGCTGGAAATCCCAGGCAGGATGGGATGTGTGTGTGTGTCGGGGGAGGGTGGGGGGGTTGGCACCCAATTGGGGAGCAGAGATTCATAGTTCCCTGCCGGGGCCCACACCACCCCAGAAGCCCTCGACGCTTGGGTTGGATTTGAATCTGATGATCCTAGATCCCAGACTCTGCCCAGAAGAACTGGTCAGAAAATACTGGCGGAATGGAAAAGCACCAAGTTGGCATTTCACATCCATCCATCTATCCATCCATCCATCATCCATCATCCATCCATCATCCAGCCATCTATCCATCCATCCATCATCCATCATCTATCTATCCATCCATCCATCCATCCATCATCCATCCATCATCCATCCATCCATCCATCATCCATCCATCTGTCCATCATCCATCCATCCATCCATCATCCATCATCCATCCATCATCCAGCTATCTATCCATCCATCCATCATCCATCATCTGTCTATCCATCCATCCATCCATCCATCATCCATCCATCCATCCATCATCCATCATGTCTGCATAGCATTTATTTTATTTCTTTATGTGAAATGTAAATGTAGGTTAGACTTAATTTTGTGTGTGTGTGTGTATGTGTACATATGTGTGTGGTGTTTAAAAAAAATCATTGTCTTTAAAACTAGTTGTACAAAGGGGTTCTCAACAGAAGTCTATAAGTTCGATGCATCTCGATCAATGGCATCTCTTCTACTGTTCTTCCTGCCTGCATCTGCTGGGCACCGATCATGCCAGGTGTTGTGGAGATGTGCAGAAAGAGAAAGTCAAATCCTCATGGTTAAGAATGGCTTGGGAGGGGCCAGGAAGGTGGCTCAGTGGTAGATTGATTGTCTTGCATGCCTGAGGCCCTGGGTTCGATGCCTCTGCACCACATAAAAAGAAAAAGCCGGACATGGCCCTGTGGCTCAAGTGGTCGAGAGCTCACCTTGAGCTGAAGAGCTGAGGGACAGCACCCAGGCCCAGAATTCAAGCCCCATGACCAACAACAACAACAACAAAAAAACCAGCTTAGGATGGATGACTCTTTGTTTGTCTATAGTGATAAGCCCACACAGAAAGCCTGAGTGAGCTCTCACGAATGTTGTAGTGATGCATTGTTCTTGCTTTTCTTTTTTTAAAAATTATTGTCATTAGGAAGTGGAGATCATGCGCCAGAGAGAAATGGAAGCTAAGAAAGAATTTGAGGAATGGAAAGAAAAAGAGCGAAGCAAGTTTTATGGGGAAATAGACAAGCTGAAACAATTATTCTGGGATGAATTTAAAGTTGTTGCCAACCAGAACTCTACGCTAGAAGAGGTACCCAACTTCATGTCTCAAAATTGCTCTATTGGGCTGAGAATGGGGCTCAGTGGTAGAGTGCTCTCCTAGCATGCGTGAAGCTATGGGTTCGATTCTTCAGTACCACATACACAGAAAAAGTCGGAAGTGGTGCTGTGGTTCAAATGGTAGAGTGCTAGCCTTGAGCAAAAGAAGCTCAAGGGCAATGCCCAGGCCCAGAGTTCAAGCCCCAGGACTGGTAAAAACAAAATGCTTTATTAAAAAAAAATTATTATCAGCTGGGTGCCGGTGGTCACCCCTGTCATCCTAGCTACTCAGGAGGCTGAGATCTGAGGATCTCGGTTCAAAGCCAGCCCGGGCAGGAAAGTCCGTGAGACTCCTATCTCCAATAAAACACCAGCAAACCGGAGGTGGCGCTGTGGCTCAAGTGGTAGAGCGCTCGCCTTGAGCTGAAGAGCTGAAGGACAGCACCCAGGCCCAGAGTTCAAGCCCCATGATGGACAATATGTATATATCATGGTTTTGTTTTTTTTTTTTTTTTTTTTTCATTGAAAATGTGCATTTGATCCTCAAGTTTCTGCCTCCTGACTCGCAGGATGACAGGCGTGAGAGCCACCCCTCTTGACTGAGCTGGGGTTTTAAATGCAGTAGACGATCAGTGGGCTGGGAGGAACACTCCAGCCCTCTCAGGCCGATCCGATCCGTGTGATGACTTGGAGTCACGTAGGTTCTCAGTGAGCTCGAGCTGGGGTCTCGTGGCTGGTGCGAAGGGAAAGATATATCCCAGGCAGCATGCTTAGCTCCGTGTCTCAGTTCAACGTGGCTTGGTGTGTTTAGAAGCTGCAGGCCCTGCAGTCTCACAGTGCAATGGTGTCCCACCTCGGATCCCTGCGGGATGAGGAGTCGGAAGAGAGGCTGCAGCAGGCCCAGGAGCTCCAGGCTCTAAGGGAGCAGATGGAGGTTCAGGTGAGCAGACCTTTCCAAAGCAAGACTAGAACCTCACTGTGCCCAAGTGTGTGTGTGTGTGTGTGTGTGTGTGTGTGTGTGTGTGTGTGTGTGTGTGTGTGTGTGTGCCAGTCCTGGGGCTTGAACTCAGGCCTAGATGCTATTCCCGAGCAGTTTTTTGTCCAGGGCTAGGGTCCTACCATTTATGCCACAGCTCTTCTTACAGCTTTTTTTTTTTTTTTTGGTGGTGGTTAATTGGAAACAAGAGTCTCACAGCCTTTCCTGCCAGGGCTGGCTTTGAATTGTGAGGCTCAGATCTCAGCCTCCTAAGGAGCGAGGATTAGAGATGTGAGTCACCGGACACCAGCCTGGCTGCTCAGTTTTTTTGCTCTGTGGGTTGGGGCAAGTTGAAAGACGTTTAAAGCTCAGTTTTAGATTTTTATACCAGTAATTTTTTTTTTTTTGGGGGGGGGGTCTGGTCGTGGGGGCCCTGAACTCTGGGCCTGGGCGCTGTCCCTCAGCTCTTCAGCTCAAGGCTAGCGCTCTACCACTTGAGCCATAGCACCCACTTCCGGCTTTTTTCTTTTTGCTTATGTGGTGCTGAGGAATCGAACCCAAGGTCTCAGGCATGCAAGGCAAGCGCTCTACCACTGAGCCACCTTCCCAGCCCGAGATTTTTTATACCAGTATAGATAAACATGAAGGCAGATTGCTTCAGCAAGGCTGGAAAATGGGTCTACCAGATCCAGTTTACCTGCTAGGTATTAAGTATATACAGAACATAGATGGAAACACGTGGGTTTCCGGCCTGGACATCTTGGTCACCATTTCTATTTTAACCCAACGAAAAACCAGTTCACAAGGCGTGATGGCCTCCCTGGATGTGAAGATATTTGGGAGTTCAAGGGACAATCCCGATTGAAATGCTGGAATATGTTGAAATGTTTAGCAACTACTTCTCTCTAGAGCTAAAAGAATAAGAGAAATAGAAAGAGCTGATTTGTGGCACTTGCCAGTCTTTGTGGTGTCCACACTCCTATATCAGCAGAGTTCATGTCATCAACGTGAGCTCACTGCTGTTTTCCTGATCCTTTAATGAGTTTGTATAACCCGTAATGTGGAAATCAATCTAGTCCTTTGATTGTTCTAGCCATTTTTGTCGGTCATGGGGCTTGAACTCAGGGCCTGGGCGCTGTCCCTCAGCTCTTCAGCTCAAGGCGTGCGCTCTACCACTAGAGCCACAGCGCCACTCCCAGTTTTCTAGTGGTTCATTGGAGATAAGAGTCTCATGGACTTTCCTGCCCGGGCTGGCTTTGAACCACGATCCTCAGATCTCAGCCTCCTGAGTAGCTAGGATGACAGGCGTGAGCCACCGGCGCCCGGCTTCCTTCACTGTTTTATTGTCAGAGAAAAAGATAGACAGGACGTTTATGGAGTCCCAATAACCAAATGATCAATCTTTTATTTACGGACTCCCTCATTCTGAAATAGGAGAAGAAAATAGTTCTGTATTTTCAGTATTTTTTATGGCCTTCATTTTTATGTTGAATTCTTGGACTCTGTGGAACTTATTTTGGTTTAAGAGAAGGTGTAATGATTCAAGATTTGATGTGTGTGTGTGTTTGTGTGTATGTGTGCGTGTGTTCATGTATATATATTGTAATATATAAAATATTTTTTTCTAGGCAGCTAGCCATTTGTTTACACAGTATCGATCAATAATCACCTCCTATCCACTTACCAACTTAATTTCCACTAACTCATTTTTTAATTCAGTTTAATTAGTCTTTCTGCCATATCATAAGCCGATACTATATAATTTCCACAGCTTTATCATATATATATATATATATTTATATTCATATCTAGGAAGGGATCCATTTAACCATCTTTAACTCTTTTTCTTTTCTTTTTTTCCTTTCTTGGAGTTCATACTGGGGCTTGAACTCGACCTGGGTACTGACTTTTTCACTTAAGGCTGCCGTGCTACCACTTGAGTCACACCTCTACTTCCGGCTTTTTGGTGGTTTCATTGGAGACGAGAGTCTCATGAACTTTCCTGCCTTGGCTGGCTTTGAACCATGATCTTCAGATCTCAGCTTCCCCAGGAGCTAGGATGACAGGCGGGAGCCACGGGTTCCCGGCTAAGCTTTTGATCTGTTTCAGAAAACAGAGTGGAAGAGGAAAATGAAGCAACTTCACAGAGAACGGTCAGCGGAAAGGAGAGAGGTAGCTGACATTGGTTGGTTGGGGCTGGGGGGGAGAGCGGGGGCGGGGGGGGAGGATGGGGGATGGGGAGCTTGTGCCCTCAATAGTCTGTGTCCCCTCTACCTCCTCCCATTCCACCCATGCCCATCAGACTTTTATTTTTGTCGGTGATGGGGCTTGAACTCTGGGCCTGGGCGCTGTCCCTCAGCTCTTCAGCTCCAGGTGAGCGCTCGACCACTTGAGCCACAGCGCCACTTCTGGTTTTCTGGTGGTTTCATTGGAGATAAGAGTCTCATGGACTTTCCTGCCCGGGCTGGCTTTGAACCTCGATCCTCAGATCTCAGCCTCCTGAATAGCTTAGCTTTTTGCTGCCCGCACCCTGATACCAGCAGACATGGGACACGGGACATAGGATCCTCTCCCCCCCCCCCCCCCCCAGCTGCAGGAGGAGAACGAGAGGCTGCGGGCCTCCCTGGCCCAGGATGAGAGGAAGATGGACGCCCAGGCCCAGCGCCAGCTCAGCGCCCTTCGCGCCCAGCTGCAGGAGCAGGCCCGGCGCCTGGCCGCGCAGGAGGACATGGTGCGTCCCCCGACCCCCTCACCTCCCGTGCTTCTGGGCTCAGGGGGGGCCGTCTCCTGAAGGGGTGGGAAGAGGGGCATGAGGGCACAGGAAGTGGGTCCCCCCCTCCGGGGACATGCGCAGCACCCCCCTCCGCGTGAGTCCCGCACACACCCGCACACCTGCCCAGTGCTCCTTACACTACAGTGTTGCCAGCCTGGGGGGTCCTCCCTCCTCCTCCCTCCTCCCTCCTCCTCCCTCCCTCCTCCTCCCTCCTCCTCTCTCTCTCCTCCTTCCTTTCTTCCTTCCTTCCCTCCCTCCCTCCCTCCCTTCCCTCCCTCCCTTCCTCTTTTCCTTCCTCCCTCCTTCCTTCCTTCCTTCCTTCCTTCCTCCCTCCCTCCCTCCCTTGCTTCCTCCCCTCCCTCTATCTTTCCTCCCTCCCTCCATCCCTTCCTCCCTCCCTCCTTCCCTCCCTCCCTCCCTTCCATCATCCCCTCCCTCCTCCCTCCTCCTCCCTCCTCCTCCCTCCTTCTCTCTCCCTTCCTCCCTCCCTCCCTTCCTCCCTCCCTCCCTCCATCTTTCCTCCCTCCCTTTATTTCTCTCTCTCTCCCTCCCCCCTCTTCCCTCCCTCCCTCCATCCCTTCCTTCCTCCCTCCCTTCCTTCTTTCCTTTATCCCCTCCCTCCATCTTTCCTCCTCCCTCTCCTTCCCTCTCCTTCCTTTCTTCTTACTTCCTTCCCTCCCCCCTCCTCCCTCCCTTCCTTCCTCTCTCCCTCCCTTCCTTCCTCCACCTATCTTGTTTTCCTTCCTTTTCCTTCCTTTCCTCTTCTTCCCCTCTCTTCCTCCCTTCCTTCCTCCCTCCCTCCCTCCCTTCCTTCCTCCCTCCCTCCCTTCCTTCCTCCCTCCCTTCATTCCTTCCTTCGTTCCTTCATTCCTTTGTTCATTCCTTCCCTCCCTCCCTCCCTTCCTTCCTGGAGGAGAAGTTGATTTCTGGAGTTTGAATTTAGGGCCTCTCACTTGTTAGGCCGGTGCTCTACTTCCTGAACCACACCTCCACCCTTTAACAATTTTATTTTCCACCCGAGGTTCTGGAGGCTCCTACTCAGCCTTCGCTGTGGTTGAGATGACAGGCGCCCCCCCCACCCGCGCCCCCCCACCCCCCCTTTTTGAGGGGAGGAGCTCACGCACGCTCTGTCCCCTGTCGCTTCCCCAGCCGGCCTGAAGCCAGTGCTGGAAATGGAGGAAGTGGAACAGCGGGCTGCCATCTTGGGCGGGGTTATCTTCCTGCCTTAGCCCCGCCCTCCCCCCCACAGGAGGTGCCCTGGTCCCTCTGTCCCATGGTTACCGTGGTAACAGCATCCCTGTTCTCCACCGTGCTGGGCAGACCCCAGAGCAGCAGAGTCTCCCAGCCCTGTGGCCGCTGCCTGTAATCCCTGCTCCGCTCCGTTCTCTTGCAGATCCAGACCTTGTCGGCCAGGAAGGTGGAAGGTGAGTGTGTGTGTGTGTGTGTGTGCACACGTGTGTGACTTAGGTCTTGTTCCTGCTGTCCCCCAGCCATGGCTGGGACGGTTGTGGGGTGCGGGGCCGGGGAGGGGTCTGCGGGGCACGCACGGGGGCCTCCTTGCTAGTTATTTCACTTGGGCTGTTGTGCTTACCAAGCAGGCGCTCTAACGCCGGAGCCATGCCTCCAGCCCTGTTTTGCTATGGTGGTTTTATTATTTTTTTGGTCGGTCGTGGGGCTTGAGCTCAGGGCCTGGGCGCTGTCCCTCAGCTCTTCAGCTCAAGGCGAGCACTCTACCACTTGAGCCACAGCGCCACTTCCGGTTCTCTAGTGGTTCAATGGAGATAAAAATCTCACGGATTTTTCTGCCCGGGCTGGCTTTGAACTGTGATCCTCAGATCTCAGCCTCCTGAGTCTCTAGGATGACAGGCTCAAGCCTCCGGTGCCCGGCTTATTTATTTTTGAGCCTGGCTCTCCCTTTCCACCCAGGGCCCTGTGCTCCTCCAAATGTAGGCTTTTCCCCTGAGTCCCCAGAGGTCTTTTTTTTTTTTTTTTTTTTGGTCCGGTCGTGGGGCCTGAACTCTGGGCTTGAGCACAGTCCCTCAGCTCTTCAGCTCAAGACTAGCGCTCTACCACTTGAGCCACAGCGCCACTTCTGGCTTTTTTCTTTTTGCTTATGTGGTGCTGAGGAATCGAACCCAGGGCCTCGAGCATGCAAGGCAAGCGCTCTACCACTGAGCCACCTTCCCAGCCCGTCCCTGGAGGTCTTGAAGCCAACCCAGGCAGGAAAAAAAAAAAAAAAAAAAAAAAAAAAAACCCCAAAACCAAACAAAACCATGCGCTAGACTCGCTCTCCAAGGCACCGGCGAAATGCTGGACTGGAGGCGTGGTTTCAGGGGCGCGGCGCCACGAGCAAGCATGCACCTCTTAGCCCAGCCATTTGGGCTTCCCCTGGAAGAACCCGAGTGAACAGGGAGGCACGCCCGTGCCTTGCTCGGCCCTTGAGCAAGGTGGCATCCTGGTGAGCTTTTCTGCCCGGCGTTGGCCTTGAACTACGATCCTCCTGTTCCTGCCTCCCCAGCGGCTACAATTATAGGCTTGAGCCAAGGTGCCTGGTGGTGTGCTCCAGCCCTTCCTTCATCCCTCCCTGATCGTGGCGGTCGGAGGACGCGGCTGGCTCCTGCTGTAAGCCAGGCAGGGTCTCCAGGGGAGTCTTACAAGACCCTCGCCCTTCCTGCTCTTTCTAGGGGTACAGGAGCCGCCAAAGGCCGTGGATGGGGAGGAGGACTCGTCTGAGGAAGGTAGGCCACCCCCCCCCGGCCTCCCCCTGCCCCCTTCCGCTCCCCTTTTCCCTCGCTGTGGTTGGGTTGGTCTTTACTTAACGGACAGCCCGACTCTCGAGGGCTGGGCGCAGCCAGGTAACGAGCACAGGGCCGACCCGGACTCGTGTCTTGCGCTACAGAGCTGGACGAGACCCGGGATGACCCGCGGAAGGTCCTGGAAACCCTGAAGCAAAACCCCGCGTTGCTGCAGCAGTTCCGGCCCGTGCTGGAGGACACGCTGCAGGAGAAACTGCAAGGCTTGGGGATCAAGAGGGTGCGTCCCGGAGCCCCCCCCCCCCCCCCCACCATGAGGGAGGCCCGGAAGGTTCTCCCCCAGCGGCCCCCTCCTCCACACTCCCTTCCCGTTTCTTGCTGTGGCTCAGCAGCCTCTGCCCCATTTCCTGTGCTCTCCCCCCCTGCCTGCTTTCCTCTGTGTCTCTTCATTTTCTTTGCCAGTCCTGGGGCTTGAACTCAGGACCTGGGCGCTGTCCCTCAGCTGCCTTGGCTCAAGGCTAGCGCTCTACCCACTTGAGCCGCAGCGCCACTTCCGGCTTTTTCTGTGTCTGTGGTTCTGAGGAATCGAACCCGGGGCTTCACGCAGGCTAGGCCAGCGCTCGACCACTGAGCCACCTTCCCAGCCCCACACCTAGGTTGAATGTAGGATAAGCCCTCATTTTGGTGACAGTTTTCAACCTGTGCTGTATGGGATCTTGGTCGCATGTTCAAGACTCAGTTGAGGGGCTGGGAAGGTGGCTCAGTGGTAGAGCGCTTGCCTTGCATGCATGAGGCCCTGGGTTCGATTCCTCAGCACCACATAAGCAGAAAAAGCTGGAAGTGGCGCTGTGGCTCAAGTGGTAGAGCGCTAGCCTTGAGCTGAAGAGCTGAGGGACAGCGCCCAGGCCCAGAGTTCAGGCACCATGACTGGCAAAAAAAAAATAAAGACTCAGTTGAATGGATTTTCAGTCTAGATTTACATGCCTCCCTATTGACTAAGAGGCAGCAGAGCCCTGAAACTTCTGCTAGTTAATGCTGTTTTTTAAAAAAATTATTATTATTGTTATTGTTATTATGTCAGTTGTGGGGTTTAAACTCTGGGTGTGGGCGCTGTCCCTCAGCTCTTCAGTTCAAGGCGAGCGCTCTACCACTTGAGCCACAGCGCCACTTCTGGTTTTCTGGTGGTTTTATTGGAGATAAGAGTCTCATGGACTTTTCTGCCCGGGCTGGCTTTGAACCGCGATCCTCAGATCTCAGCCTCCTGAGCAGTTAGGATGACAGGCATGAGCCACCAGTGCCCAGCATTATTATTTTTTCCTAGCTTAGTTTCTCAAATGGTATCAGCCAGGGACTGGGAAGATGGCTCAGTGGTAGAGTGCTAACCTTGCATGCATGAAACCCTGGGTTCGATTCCATAGTACCACTTTCACAGAAAAGGCTGTGGCTCAAGTGGTAGAGTGCTAGCCTTGAGCAAAAACAGCTCAGGGACAGTGCCCAGGCCGTGAGTTCAAGCCCCAGGACTGGCAAAAAAAAAAAAAAGTACCAGCTGGGAACTAAGCTGCCGGGCGCCGGTGCTCACACCTGTCATCCCAGCTTCTCAGGTGGCTGAGGTGAACCCACCAGGAAAAAAAAACCCATGGAAGTGGAGCTGTGGCTGTCCATGGTAGAGCGCCAGCCTCAAGCAACAAAGCCAAGGGACCTCAGCACTTAGACCTTGAGTTCAGGCCCCCGGGAGGCCGGGGAGGAGGAGGCCCATGGGGGCCCAGGTGACCCCGACCATCTGTCCCCTTAGGATGCAAGAGGGATTTCGGTGGAGACGCTGGGGTACCTGGAGTCCGTGCTGCGCACGCAGCGGGAGCAGAAGGCCCGGAGGTTCGCCGATTTCTTGACTCTGAGGGCCAAGCTCACGCAAGAAGCCACCAGCAGAATGACACGGAGGGGACACTCTGCGGCCGCCCAGCCCGACGGCCCACGGGGGGGTGAGTTATTCACCAGACTGCTTTTTTGCCGATCCTGGGTCTTGAACTCAGGGCCCGGGCCTGAACTTCTCTCTGCTCAAGGCGAGCGCTCTACCACGTGAGCCACGGCGCCCCCTCCCCGGCTTTTTCTGCCTTTATGGTGCTGAGGAATCGAACCCAGGGCCTCCTGCGCGCTAGGCCAGCACTCTACCACGGAGCCGCCTTCCCAGGTCCCCCCGTGATGGCTTTTGATCCCCTATTTATTGTCCAGAAATATTGCTTGATTTCCCCCTTAGTGTCCCTGCCTGTGTGTGGGGGGGAGTTGGGGGACAATCTGGAACAGGGAGGGGCCCCGATTCCTGGCCTGCCTGGGACCCCAGCAATCTGCGCGCGCTCGCGGCAGGTGTCTGGGTTTGGGTGACCCTACATGGTCCTCTGCTGACCCCTAGTGGCCGGCAGGCCATCCTGCAAGGCGGCCGGTGAACCCAGCTGCGAGCATCCGCAGTGACATCTGGCCACTCCCTTGGGGGGTAGGTGGGGGCTCGGATGACCCCCCTCCCGCCTCCCAGCCCGTGTCCAGGGTCACGGCTCCACGTCCAGGCCGCAAGGGGGCCTGCAAGGTGCCCAAGGCCACTTCCCTCTCTGTGTTTCCAGCCAAAGGCCAGCAGAGGGCACCAGCCCCCGGACAGACCTGGCTGAAGAGCTGCCAGCCTGCAGAGCCCCCCAGCACCCTCACGACCACCCCCACCCCACGCCCCAGGTCTCAGGCAGCCTCCCCGGCCACCCGGGCCACCCCGGGACTCAGACTCAGGTGAGTCCTGGCTAGCCTCGGGCCCTCCCTCCCCCACCCCCCTCAACTCAAGGCTGGTGCTCTACTGCTTGAGCCACAGTCCTGCATCCAGCTTTTTGTCGAGAGGGAACCACGATCCTGTGGATCTCAGCCTCCCTAGGAGCTGGGCTGACAGGCATGAGCCACTGTGCCTGGGCTGTGTCTCCAGTTTCCGTTGAACCCTTCCTTGTCCTTCATTCCCCCCCACCCCCCGCAGCAGCACACCCCCCTTCAGCTCCCCTGAAGAGGACTCAGGGGAAGATAGGGTCCAGCAGATGGCGCCCCTGCCCCCCAGAGCTCCGTCCCGGCCAGCGCCCCCCGCCCCAACAAGCCCTGGACTGGTCAGACACTGATTTCTCAGAGGAAGAAGAGGATGGTTCCGGGGGCCTGGCTTCCTCAGGTGAGCAGGATGAGGGTCAACGCCCCTCACCCTCCCACCCCTCCACCCCCCCCTTTCTCCATCTCCCTTCCCTCTCTTCCCTTCTGGTCAGTGGTGGGATTTGAGCTGAGGGACAGCCCCAGGCCCAGAGTTCAGGCCCCACGATCGCCCCCCCCCCCAAAAAAAAACAAAAATACATCAGCTCTTCACGTTTGATGATATCAACCGATAGTATTTTATTATAATGTTTCAAAACTAATGCCAGGCACTGGTAGCTCAGGCCTGCTATCCAGGATGCTGAGATCTGAGGATCGCGGTTCAAAGCCAGCCTGAGCAGCAAAGTCCATGAGACTCTGATCTCCAGTGAAGCACACACACAAAAAGTCCAGACATGGAGTTGTGGTTCAAATGCTAGAGCACTGGCCTTGAGGAAAACAAAGTTCAGGGGCGGTAGCTAGGCCCTGAGTTCATACCCCAGGACCAGCACACACACACACACACACACACACACACACACACACACACACACACACACACACACACACACACACACACACACACACACACACATCAAGATGAATTAGTTAGCTAATTAATTAATTAAAATGAAAGTGCTTGGGCCTACTACATCGGCAAGCTGTGTGTCTGCTTCTCTGTGTGTCCCGTGGATGGTTCGGGGTGAATGATAGCTCTGCATTATCAGTAATCTGTGGCTCTTCCTGCCCTTCCACCTAATGGCTGCGTTTCAAGCGATCAGCCTCAGAAACATGCAGACATGACAGTGTAATGCCCGTTGCTATTGCTGGCACCGAGCTAGCTGGGCTTCGTCGCTCGCCTCGCTCTGAGCCACACGGCGCCGCTTCTGGTTTCTGGGTTGGGGGGGGGGTGTCGATCACTGTGCATGTCCCCCCCACCCTGTGTCCCAGGAACCCTGGTGCAGTCCCTGGTCAGAAGCCTTCAGAAGCAGCTCGAGGCGCCGGGCAAGAAGCCTGCGGGCGGGGTCAGCGTGTTCTCCAGGCCCAGCCCCGGGCCACAGAGCGCGGCCACGGCGCCCACGGCCACGGCGGGAGGGGGGCGGCAGGTAAGGGGGAGCACTAGGCCTGGCCTGGCTTGGTGGAGGGGGCAGGGCATGTCCCCTTGGGGGGGACTCAGCTCTCCCATCAGCTCCGGGGTCTCTGGAGAATGTTCTCAAGGTAGGGAGACAGGCAGGAGAGAGGGAAACGCGGTCTCACACATCCCAGCTACTTCCACCGCAGGCTACCCTCCCCCTCCCCCCTCCCTCCCTCCCTCTCTCCCACCCTCCCTCCCTCTCTCTCTTTCCCTCCCTCTCTCTCTTTCCCTCCCTCTCTCTCTCTCTCTCCCTCCCCCTCTCTCTCTCCCCCTCCCTCCCTCCCTCTCTCTCTCCCTCCCTCTCCCTCTCTCTCTTCCTCTCCCTCCCCCTCTCTCCCCCTCCCTCCCTCCCTCCCCCCCTCTCTCGGTGGTATCAGGGCTGGACTTCAGGCCCTCACATTCTCCCCCCTCCCTCCTCCATGTCCTTGTTCAGCCCGTGCTCTACCACTTGAGCCCCGTGTCCAGCCCTACTTTTTGCTAGTGACTTTGGAGTTGGGAGTCTGGGGGTGGGGGAAGGTGGTGGGAGGGAGGGGGAATGTGTCTAAGCCTGCTAAATCCCCCCTGGGAACCCCTGGGGTTCATCACACGTACCCCCCCCACCCCCCCCCGCAGCTTTCTGAGGAGGAGAGCGAGCTGGAGCTGTCTTCGCTGGAAGATCTCTCGCGGCCCCACTCCCCGCCCCACGCCAGCCCCCCGGAGCGGGGTCACCCCGGCCCTCGGCCCTGGGGTCCCCACAGGGTCCCCGCCTGGTGACTCCGTCCCCCCCCGGCCCGCGTGACCGCCAGGGCAAGGCCCGTGGCACGGGCCCAGGACCGCCTCCGGGAAGCCCAGGGGGTCCTGGGGTGTGGCGGTGTGGACGTGGCTCTCGCTCCGAGCCGGGGTTCTCCGCCTGTCCCCCGCTGCTGCGTGCTGGGGTGTAGGCCAAAGATGCTGGTGGTGGTGGTGGAGGAGGAGGGAGGAAGCCATTGGGGGGGACAGAGATGGGGGAGACATGTGGGGTACCCCGGAGGCCACACCCGAGACCAGCCCCCTCCCCCAGGGGCTGGGGAGGGGAGGGGTGTGGGGAGGGAGAACTTCCCAGAGCTGTGAGGCCTGTGGGAACTGGAGGGGAGGGAGGCCCGCATGGGGAGGCCCCTGCGGTGAGGCCGGGCGTGGAGGGAGGCCAGCCTGGCCCAGGGACCCCCCCCCCCACGCCCCCCAAACGTGGCCGGCCTCGCCCTCCAGACAGGGCCTCCCTCCCCGTGGCCGTGGGGATTTGAGTGTGGAAACACGGCGCGTGCGCGGATCTGCACATGGAGGCTGCGTGTGTTCTGTGGTGTCCTCGTTCTGTTTTTTTTTTTAGGTATGGGGGGTGGCGGGGCCGGAGGCCATCTGCAATCCCCCCCCAAGCGGGGCTCATCCCGGGGTTATTTCGGGGGGGGGGGGTTCCTCTGGCCAGGCAGAATAGGACCCTGGGGCGGGGTGGGGGTGGGGCTGGCGCTTTCTTGACGAATCCTATGTGGGCAAGAACAGGGAAGGGGGCGTCGCCAGGGCCAGCCGCATGCAGGGCTCGCTCGCTCCCCTCCTCTCCCTCCCCTCCTGTCCTCTCCCCTCCCCTCCTCTCCCCTCCCCTCCTCTCCTCTCCCCTCCCCTCCTCTCCCTCCCCTCCTCTCCCCTCCCCTCCTCTCCTCTCCCCTCCCGTCCTCTCCCCTCCCCTCCTCTCCTCTCCCCTCCTCTCCCCTCCCCTCCTCTCCTCTCCCCCTCCTCTCCCTCTCCCCTCCCTCCCCTCCTCTCTCCCCTCCTCTCCCCTCCTCTCCTCTCCCGCTCCCCTCCTCTCCCTCCCCTCCTCCTCCCACCTCCCCTCCCCTCCTCTCCTCTCCCATCCCCTCCCTCACCCCACTGTCCTCTCCCCTCCCCTCCCCTCCTATCCCCTCCCCTCCCCTCCTCTCCAGTCCCCTCCCCTCCTGTCCTCTCCCCTCCCCTCCCTCTCCTCTCCCCTCCCCTCCCCTCCTGTCCTCTCCCCTCCCCTCCCCTCCCCTCCCCTCCTGTCCTCTCCCTCCCCGCCCCTCCTCCCTCCTCCCCTCCCTCCCCTCCCCTCCCCTCCCCTCCCCTCCCCTCCTCTCCCCTCCTCTCCCCTCCCCTCCCCTCCTC